TCCATTTCAGCGTCTCTGCGTCCAGGTCGCCAGCTCACCTTTCCGGTCCGTCTGCCTCGACGGACGTCTCAAGGTCAGCCTGTGCTGCAGGTCTTGCGCAGCCATCGGAGAGGCTGCTTGATGCAGAGTCAGAACATTGCTCCATCGGGCTCAGTGCCGTCCACACAGGTCGGCAGCAGCTCTCTAGAGTTTGAGAGAGAATCCTCTCCCAGAGATGTCAGCGGGGACTGGACCAGGAATATTCTGCATGGGCCTTCCCCCAAATATCTCCCGCTAACCCCCCACTAATCCAGCTGCAAACGTCACTCCTGGGCTTGCAGGCCCCGCTTCCGATGCCCCACACAACAGCTGGTTCTGCCTGTGTGCGCCTGCTCTATTAGCACGGCTTTTAGGTAGGTATCTGTGGCCACACTGGCATGATGCATTGAAACAAAACAGCCCCGCTTTAAACAGTCCCCAAGAGTCCTGGGATTTCTCTTGAGGATCGTAGCTGGGACAGCACCATCCCCTCCCAGTGCTACAGTTGCCAGTGCTATAGTTCCCAGAGCGGTTTAAGAATCGTTTCCTCCTCCGCATAAGGTGCCAAGCCAAGGGAGCGCAAAATAATAATAATAATAATAATAATAATACAGTGGACACTCGGGTTGCGAACGCGATCTGTGCGGGAGGCACGTTCACGACCCGCAGCATTCACAACCCAAAGCGCCGCATCTGCGCACGTGCAGGTTGTGATTCAGTGCTTCTGCGCATGCGCAAAGCGCGATTTAGCGCTTCTGTGCATGTGTGACCACCGAAACCCGGAAGTAACCCGTTCTGGTACTTCCGGGTTTCAGTGTGTCCGTAACCTGAAAAACACAACCTGAAGCAGCTGTAACCTGAGGTATGACTATAACAACAACAGCAACAATAATACCTATATTCATACGGGTTCCTACTCAGAGTTAGGCCCCGGTCAGATGGGCGATTGAGTTACTGCAGCTAGAACATAGAGCACTTGAGAGCCAGCGCAGAACAGAAACTGAGAGGGCTCCCAATAAACTTTTAGGGTGTCAAATTTTGTCCTCGCTCAGGGCGCCATATTACCAAAGTCCGCCCCTGTCCCCTGGGACCTGTGATCCCATCCAGGGCACCTATGTTGCTGTTAGAACCATATCATTATTGATTATCGATCCCCCAGCCTGCACCCTAAAGTTCCATGGCAGGTTGCAGCATTAAAACACCTTAGAACAACTCAGCGGTGGACTCTAAGCCTCTGCTCCTTCGCCAGAGGTTTTCAAGCAGAGGTTAGATGGACACCAGTCAGCTGTGGTCCCGGGCATTGCAGGGGGTTGGAATAGGGTCCCTTCCAACTTGACGATTACATGATTCCACAATGTGATGGCCTGGGACTCGGGCTCGGACTTGGAGCCCGCACCAGATCCTTTGCCTCAGGCATCATCTGAACCTAGTCTGGGGCCTGATTCTGAAGAGCCCCAGTCTGCACAGATTCCCCTGCAACAAACACCAGCTGGGCCGAGTCAGGGGCCTGAGCCTGCCCTGGCTCCAGATGTGGGGATGACCTCGTTGCCTCCAGCTGGGCCATCACTTACAGCTGCTCCACTACAGGTTGGGTCAGGGGAGGCTGAGGCGGCCTCTGGGTCTAGTAACCCACCAACGTCTCCCGAGCTGCAGAGACTGAGGTCTGAGAGAAGGAGAGACCTGAGTACTCGCAGGAGGAGTGCTCGCCTTCAGGTGAGGCAGGGAGGTGAGTCACCGGGGGATCAGGACCGGCCGTTACCCCATCAGAGATAAAAGGCTGTCAGACCCTGCCCCAGGTTGCGGGAGCAACATTGCTGTTTGCCAGAACCTTCCTGGGATCCTGTGCCTGTCCTTGCCGGTTTCCTGCCTGAGCCCTGTTGGACTGACCCCTCACAGAACCCTTGGATTCGGGACCGGACCTGGACCGTGTTACTTGGGTTACCCCCGGGCCCAGCACACACAAACTTCCAACTGTAAAAATAAGGTGGGTCCTAAAGACATAAACTTTGAGTGTCCAAAGCCACGGGCCAAACTCTCTCTGCCAGGGCAGCTCTCAGCTATGCATCTGTTACAGAGTCCAGACCTTTCGCAAGTCAGCTGCGCTTGCAAGCTCCCCTTTGGAGCCACTCTGTCCGAAATGCTTCTATTAGCCGCTTAATTAATCCGGGGTAACGACCAACTTTGGGTCCCAGCCTCACAAATCTGTTGCTTTTCGTGGATGGAGGAAACATTTCTCCTAGCGCCACTTGCCATGGAGGAAGAGGAGGAGAAGAGGGCTCTCGATGGCCACATAGTCAGAACAGCTCTCCTCTGCCTCCACAGAGGCAGAAATGCTCCTGAACCCCAGTTCCTGGAAGCTGCAGGTTGGGAGAAGAGATCACATGTGCCCGGATCCTGCTTGCTGCAGGTTTCCCTGAAGAGGCACCTGGTTGGCCACTGAGAGAACAGGATGCTGGACTACTTGCGCCACTGACCTGATCTTTTTACAGAGCCTCCAGCTCCAGAGGCAGTCTATCCACATTCCTGCATCATTGGGAGTAGTTGGCCACTGGCCTGATCCTGCAGCCAGCCTTTTGCAGCCAGCCTCTGAAGGCAGCCCTGTTTAGGGAAGCTTTTAATGTTTGGTGCATTACTGTATTTTAATATTTTGTTAGAAGCTGCCCAGAGTGGCTGGGGAAGCCAGCCAGATGGGCGGGGTATATAAATATTATTATTAGTAGTAGTAGTATTACTATTACTATTATTTTCTTATGTCCTTGTTCCTTCCTGGCCACATCAGGGCCACGAAAGTGCACTTATATTTTTTAAAAAACCCGCATTCAGCAATCTCAAGGGCACGGATCCTGACCAGGGCCGGATTTAGGTTTGATTTTGATGAGGCCCTAAGCTACTGAAGGTACTGGGGCCCTTTCTATGTCCAGCTGTCCTTTGTCAACAACAAATTGCCGCTGTTTTTTGTGTTGACTATATGCTATATGGCAATTTATGGACCTAATAGGTATCTCATGCACATAACAAAACATCTATCTTATCATAAAATACATATTTTATGTGAAGGTAAAGATAAAGGGACCCCTGATATTTTTTGTAGGTACCTTATATATAGAAATGAGCAAAGCAGTGATCTTTTAGGGTGCAGGCTAGCAGGCGGGGCTCCTTACTTAGATCACAGGAGCCTACGCAACACAAAACACTTTTGCTGTAGGTAGGTTTTATTTTATTTGTTTTTTATCTTATATTTTGGAAATGTACATCGTTTTTCCCCCTTTAATTTTTATTTTTTTGGGGGGGCCAAGAGAGTGGGGCCCTAAGTTATAGCTTGTTTAGCTTATTCTAAATCCGGCACTGATCCTGACCCCTTCCCTTCCCAGTCCCTGGCTGGGATCTCGGGATCCGCGCTTGCACTGCAACCCGACCGTGCGCGCGGCGCGCTCGTGTGTTTGCGGGCGCCGCGAACTCCGTCTCTATGTCAACCTGTCCCACTTTCTGGCTCCGCCGCTTGGCACGTCCGCGGAGCCCAAATTCCTTTGCACCCACTGCTCGGAACAGTTTTTCTCTCTTTTGGGGGGCGAGGAGGGGAGCCCCTCCTTGGAATCCCCACCCCGCCCCTCTCCCTTTCCTCCCCAAATTGCGCTCAGGCAGCAACAACCACCTCCATCCCCCGCTTCGCCCTTGCGCTTCCCGGCGCCACTCCGGTGCCACTCCGGTGCCACCTTCTAGGGCGCATCCCGAAGTGCCCCGATCCAGCCACTCACCTCCCGCGACGTCCTCCTCCGTGCGGCGCCCGGGGCATCGTGGGCGTCGGGCGCCCAGGCAGCCGGCTGCTGGAAGTCTCCGGAGGAGGCGGCGGCGAGTCCGGCCGAGGCTCCTTCGCCCTCCCGCGCCGAGCGCACGTCCCGGCCGCCGGGGCGGAGATGAGCCCCGAGCGGAGGCGGCAGCCGAGCGGGTCGCGGCGCCGCCACGTGGCGGATGGGCGGAAGAGCCGGGCGGAGAAGCCAGGATTAAGAACAGCTGGGATTTTTTTATGGGGGTACTCTCAGATACGCAGTACCTGCCCACAAAATGTTTTAAATGTGGCATTTACTGAAACAACTTCATAGTGAGTACCGGCACCGTTTTTTTCTTTTCTTTCTTTAATTTTATTTTGGCAAAGTAATAATCATACACACACAAAAAAGAATAAAAAAAGTTCTAGTTGCAGGTAAAGCAGAGACATCACCATGCCAACAAAGTTCCATATTGTTAAAGCTATGGTTTTTCCCAGTACAGTGGTACCTCGGGTTCAGTACTTAATTCGTTCCGAAGGTCCGTGCTTAACCTGAAACTGTTCTTAACCTGAAGCACCACTTTAGCTAATGGGGCCTCCTGCTGCCGCCACGCCACCGGAGCCCGATTTCTGTTCTTATCCTGAAGCACTATTTCTGGATTAGCGGAGTCTGTAACCTGAAGTGTATGTAACCTGAAGCATATGTAACCCGAGGTACCACTGTAGTGATGTATGGAAGTGAGAGCTGGACCATAAAGAAGGCTGATCGCTGAAGAATTGATCCTTTTGAATTATGGTGCTGGAGGAGACTCTTGACAGTCCCATGGACTGCAAGAAGATCAAACCTCTCCATTCTGAAGGAAATCAGCCCTGAGTACTCACTGGAAGGACAGATCCTGAAGCTGAGGCTCCAAGACTTTGGCCACCTCATGAGAAGAGAAGACTCCCTGGAAAAGACCCTGATGCTGGGAAAGATGGAGGGCACAAGGAGAAGGGGATGACAGAGGACGAGATGGTTGGACAGTGTTCTCAAAGCCACCAGCATGAGTTTGACCAAACTGCGGGAGGCAGCGGAAGACAGGAGTGCCTGGAGTGCTCTGGTCCAGGGGGTCATGAAGAGTTGGACACGACTATACGATTCAACAACAACAGCCATGTTAGTCTGCCATAGTCAAAACAAAATAATAAAAAAATCCTTCCAGTGGCAGCTTAGAGACCAACTAAGTTTGTTATTGGTATGAGCTTTCATGTGCATGCACATGTGTATCTGAAGAAGTGTGCATGCACACGAAAGCTCATACCAATAACAAACTTAGTTGGTCTCTAAGATGCTGCTGGAAGGATTTTTTTTATTTTGTTAAGAATAAAAATGTGTACCCCACCACTGAGACCATTCCATTGTAACTATCCAACCCAGTGCTGGATTTGCGTATAAGCTAAACAAGCTATAACTTAGGGCCCCACTCTCTTGCCCCCCCCCAAATTAAAGGAACAAAAAACTGGATGTACATTTCCAAAATATAAGATAAAAAACAAATAAAATAAAACCTACACACAGCAACAGTGTTTTGTGTTGTGGAGGCTCCTATGATGTAAGTCTTGGCTCTGCCTACCAGCCTGCTTCCTAAAATATCACTGCTTTGCTCATTTCTATTTCACTATTAATATACTTCTCCTTAATTGTATTTCAGTTCAACAATTACAGTGGTAGCTTGGGCTACAGGCGCTTCAGGTTACAGACTCCGCTAACCCAGAAATAGTACCTCGGGTGAAGAACTTTGCTTCAGGATGAGAACAGAAATCGTGCTCCAGCGGCGCGGTGGCAGCAGGAGGCCCCATTCGCTAAAGTGGTGCTTCAGGTTAAGAACAGTTTCAGGTTAAGAACGGACCTCCGGAACGAATTAAGTACTTAACCCGAGGTACCACTGTACTTTGATAAAATGTAAATGGTGCCTAGGCCTAAGTGCTCTTTCTGTGGGCATCCTATGAAGCTTAGCACTGGAAGATTTAGGACGGATAAGAGAAAGCCGTTTTTCATGCAGTGCACAGATAAACTGTGGAACTCCCTTCCACCGGAGGCAGGGATAGTCGCCAACTTGGATGGTGTGGGATTTAATCCACTGGGAGCAGTCAAGTACAACATTCCTTGTTTTCCTAGAATGGATATGCAAGGGGATGACTGGTCCAGCCAGTTGAAATTTCCTGTTTCCTCCTGGCCTGGAGCATCCTTCCTCTTGCATGTGACCAGTGGTGGGCATGACCTTACCTGTGCAGGTGTGCTGGTCCCGGGGGGAAGGTTACCGTTGGCGTAGTCAAAGTCCGGTCCTGGGTCACTGGTATGGAAACAGTTCTCAAGGAGCGAGGTGAGATCCGAAGCAGGAAGCTGGGCGGGGACAGGAACACTGGGGGAACAGGACTGGATGCTGGCCGAAACAGCTTATCGATGACGTTGCTCCCGCAACCTGAGACCGGACTGACTGGCCTTTATCTTCTCTGAGGCCAGGGGCAGTCCCGGCCCCCAGGAGACCCGCCTCTCCTGGCCTTAAGGCGAGCACTCCTCCTGGGAGAAACCAGTTCCCTTCGCCTCTCTGCCCTGAACCTCTGCCTTCAGGGATCCAACTGTGAACTGATGATGTGAGTAAACTACTTTTATATACAGTGCTACCTCAGGATGCAAATGGGATCTGTTCCGGAGCCCCGTTCGCATCCTGAACAGAACGTAAGATGTGACTGCATGTCTGCGCATGCACAGGTCGCGTTTTGCTGCTTCCGTGCATGCGTGTGATGTCATTTTGACTGTCTGCACATGTGCGAGCAGCGAAACCCGGAAGTAACGCGCTCCGTTACTTCCGGGCCGCTGCGGAGCGCAACCTGAAAATACTTATCCTGAAGCATATTTATCCCGAGGTATGACTGTACTTTACACAAGATTGTGGTGTGTTTATTCTTTTAAGAGGGATATAAGGGAACTTACCAGGAACCTAATAGTGAGAGGCTTACACAAGCCTGCAACCAGCTATCTGCTGTGCATTCAAAAGGGGAATGTGAAACTCTGCTAAGTAAAGGAACTTGCTAGCGCAAATTAGGAAGGATATTAATAAACAATCTATCCTCTCCTGCCTCCCTGAACTTTCCCACAGATTGCTTTAAAAGAAGATTAAACAGATTCATGGAGGGCCTGAGGCAATTCATGGCTACTAGTCACAGTAGCTGTGCTCTGCCCCCCCAGCCAGAAGCAACAACACTTCTGAGCACCAGTCGCTGGAAACCACAGGAGGAGAGAGGGATCTCGCACTCGGGTCCTGCTTGCTGGTTTCCCATTGGGGCACCTGGTTGGCCACTGTGAGAACAGGATGCTGGACTCGATGGGCCATGGGCCTGATCCGGCAGACTCTTCTTAGGTTCTTACTTTGCCATCGCTTGATAAGTCTCCCAGGACCCCGTCATGGGGTGCAGAATTCAAGTGGTAGGTTGGTGCGTCTAGAGATGCAAATTAGCATATGCAAATGTGATGCAAATCTGCTCTCTTTTGTGGCAATGCAGAAGCAGCGCCCTACCACTGGCCTGATCTATTATGGCAGCAGGATTGTGTAATAAACGAAAATCTGCCCTTATTCCCTTCTGGGGGACACAAGAGCCCTTATAGAGTCCTTTGTAGGTTCTCCATTGGTCAGAGAAATGAACAGAGGCCAACCAGAGAATATTGAGAAGCAAAGCAGCTCGTAAGCCTGATCTTTATTGAACTGTTGCAACAGCCTGCCCCCTTCACACGCAGGAAAGTAGGAGGATCCAGAACCCAGGTGTGTCCGCCCTTATATAGACATTTTAAATTGCCTGCCCTGGAGTCCAAGACTACCCGCAGACACATCATACCTACATCACAGAAAGGGCGGTCTACAGCAGAAATCTGAGTGCCTTGTTTATCTCCTGTCATTGTTTACCTCCTGTCTGGCAGGTTACCTCCTAATGCTTACTTGATCGGATACCCTGGGGAGCCTGGCCAGTCTTTTGTAGTGACAAATACTTAGTTCCTGAGCCAGGTCACAGGCTCACCCTATTCATACACAGACATACCCTTAAGACAGGTTTTGTGAAGGAAAAGACAATGGGGAGGCGTTTCCATTTCCCTTTGACCTTGCAGAGAAAACATTTGGTCAGTTTGGGTGCCAAAACGGCTCCAGGGCTGCCCTCCTGCGCTGCCTCAGACATGTGGCCCATATGTACATATGTACATATGTACATGTTTGCCTGGCAAATCCATGAACATTTATTATATATAGAAGACCTTATTTTTTTAATTTCAATTGGATGAGAGGATGCAGATTTTTTATTTTATTTTTACACGGGTGAATTGTTTTAAAACACGACACACGGACACCACCCCCCCATAGAGCCATTCCAGGGCATTTTGCTGCCTGAGTCAGAGAAGCAAACAGCGCACCAATTCAGGGTTCATAGTCCCTGAGGCCAGATGAGGTACTTGGATACCTGAGGCAAATAAAAAAACCTTTAAAAAATGAATCAATTGCTTCTCTTTCTTGGCTCCCAAAACCAGCCACCTGAGGCCGCTGCCTCCCTCTGCCTTGCTGGACTGAACTCACAGAGGCTTCACCCAGTTTTGCCTCCTCCAGGATTTCACCCTCTCTAGAATCACAGAATTGCAAAGTTTGAAGGGACCCCAGGGGTCATCTAGCCAAACCCCCTTCCCTAAAATGGGGATTTCTTCAGTCCAGCTGTGGTGGTCACTGTGGTTGATGGAAGCTGCAGTTCAAAACATCTGGAAGGCTGGGGAAAGTGGCTTTCACTGGTCACAAGCTTTGTTGCTTTTTTTAAATGCTTTATTAGTTTTGAAAATGTATAACATAAATAATCAAAAGATGTTAAAGACGAAATAAAAGGAAACCATCATTCTTTCCTTAACTGATACTTGTTTTGTACATCGTTTTATAGTTGAATTTAACGTGACCTCCAGTCTTCCCATTATGTTCCTGTGATGGATTCCTTGAATACGCGCCTAACTTTATTTTCTCCATGTTGTTCAACTTACTTTAAATTTTATAAGATTATCCAATTCGCACACAGAAACTCAATCGAAACCTGCCAACGGATTGATATTTTGACAATGTTCTTTTACATAGACTCTGTATATATCCCACTCTCTGATAAATTTTTCGTCTGTAACGTCACGTAACCTTGCTGATAGTCTCGCCAATTCTGCATACTCTCTTAATTTATTTTGCCAGTCTGATTTAGCATCAGGCAAGGCCTTCTCCCACCTGCCTTGCCCCACCCTCCAGTCTCTGCTTCTCAGTTTGTATTGTATTATTTTATGCACTTGCCGTTGTTTTATTGATTGTAGTTTTGAAATTATTTATTGTAATTGTTAAGAGTGGTTTGTTTAATTTTTATATGCTGATATTATTAATCTATACTATCCTAATGATTGTTGAATGTTACTTTATTTGATGTAGATTGCTTATTTTAAAGCTGTTTTGTTTTTGTATCGCATTAGATTGTTCTAAGGTGTACATTCTTTGTTTCTTCAGCTTGGAAACCGCCTTGAGTATTGTAAGATAGAAAGGAAGTATACAAATTAAAAGTGATGATGATGCTAGCCTCTCCCTCCCAACTTCTTGCGATTAAAATTCAAAAAAAGTTCAGGAGAGTCTTTATGTAGGCTACAGTTGCTGCCAGAATTTTAATCACAGGTTTTGTTCCAGTGACTTGCCCTTCCCATCCCTAAAATGGCCCAAGGAAGCCCAAACCCCTTTCCCAAAATGGAAGGACAAAGAGACAACTGCAAACAAGGCAACTTTTATTATTATTATTTCCAAATCTTATTCCACGAGAAACGGTCTGCCCTAACATGATCTTTAGTACAATCCATATTAAATAACACTGTGTTAAATACAAAATACTGATTTTAACAAGAGACAAGTGGTTTTAAAACAGTTGGGTTTCCTTCCCCCCGTTTTCCTGCGGGTCTGTATCTCACCCGCAGTTTCGTTCGCAGACGTTCTTCTCTGAAGTTACAAATTTGTATGAAAAGTTAGTAGAAAACATTTAGGACGATCGTAACAGCTGCCCCACCGCTGATTATACGGCAGGAAGATCTTACAAAGCATAAAAATAACCAGAAAAAATCGGAGACTTTGGGAAATCCAAGGCTGTCTGGATTTGCGTAAGGAGAAGGTTTGTAGAAGTGGGGGAACCATAGATCAGGTGCCTGTCCCAACCTGGCGCCCTCCATATAATTTTGGACTACAACTCCCATTCTCCCAGACCTTTGAAATTGGGGCATGGCTGCAGAAGTCCTATTTAAGCTATTGCCCTGTCCCAAAGTTTTCAATTATCATCACGAGTGGGAAGATAGATTGGTCAAGAAGTAAGCTCAACAGGATTTGCTTTTGAGCAAATGGAGTTTTTCTTTTTTTAGGAATGGATCAAAATGGCCCCAATCCAACACCCTTATTTTCTGAGTCCATTGATTGCCGTAGTAGAAATCAGCTGTAGCGTGCTACAATCCAGAGTTGGACGAGACCCCTTACCACAGAGGCTGGATCTCCCAGCTTTCTGCTGCAGCCTCGCCTGATAGGCGGGCTGAACCTGCCTTGGGTGGTCCAAAGCCTGGGTAAAGGTAAAGGTAAAGGGACCCCTGACCATTACATCCAGTCGTGACTGACTCTGGGGTTGCAGCGCTCATCTCACTTTATTGGCCGAGGGAACCGGCGTACAGCTTCTGGGTCATGTGGCCAGCATGAGTAAGGCGCTTCTGGCGAACCAGAGCAGCGCACGGAAATGCCATTTACCTTCCCGCCGGAGCGGTACCTATTTATCTACTTGTACTTTTTGGCATGCTTTCGAACTGCTAGGTCAGGGGTCAGCAAACTTTTTCAGCAGGGGGCTGGTCCACTGTGCCTCAGTCTGGCCCCCCACAAGGTCTATTTTTTTGGGGGGGGGGGATGAATGAATTCCTATGCCCCACAAATAACCCAGAGATGCATTTTAAATAAAAGCACATATTCGACTCATGTAAAAACACCAGGCAGGCCCTACAAATAACCCAGAGATGCATTTTTTTTTTTTTAAAAAGGACACATTTGACTCATGTAAAAACACGCTGATTCCCGGACCGTCTGCAGGCTGGATTGAGAAGGCGATTGGGCCTGAAACGGCCCCCGGGCCTTAGTTTGCCTACCCATGTGCTAGGTTGGCAGGAGCTGGGACAGAGCAACGGGAGCTCACCCCGTCGCAGGGATTCAAACCAATAGGCAGCCCAAGAGGCTCAGTGGTTTAGACCACAGCGCCACCCGCGTCCCATTTGACTCTGTCCTGATTCCTAACTGGGGGAAAGATCTGCGCTTTCTCCTTTGCTGGACAAAGGAGAGGTCAATTCTCGGGACGAAGGATGGGAACCTCTTTCCCAACTCCAGCTAGGATGGCGGTGCGTAGAAAGGAAGAGTGAATGTTACAACTGCGCACCAAGGAATGTACAGAGTTGTCTACGGAAGAGTAGGATAGAGAGAAGAGGCTTTCCTTGTGTACTCACTCTGGGGAGCCCTGGGTTAGATTCAAGTTTCTGTTGTGTGTAAGGCAATGTGATCCTGCACGTTCCTGGTCCATCCCTGCATGGACTCGATCCGAGCCTAGGTTTATTTTATTTATTGAATAAATAAATAAACTGAGGTCATGCCATCTAGGGGTTGCATCCAGAATTTGGGGGGGGGATTTTGTTGGGAGTTTTTGCTGTTATTGATATTAATATTAATTGATATTAATTTTTGATCGCAACCAGCTATCTGCTGTGCATATAAAAAGGGGAATGTAAACTCTGCTACATAAAGGAACTTGCTAGCACAAGTTAGAAAGGATATTAATAAACAATATACCCTCTCCTACCACCCTGAACGTTCCCACACACAGCAATGGAGGGCAGCAATGCCAGTCGCCAGAAGCCACGGGAGGGGAGAGCCAGAAAAGGAGGCTTGGGTTCGAATCCTGGGTTTCCCACTGGGTCATCTGGCTGTCCCCTGGGAGAGCAAAATGCTAAACCAGGTGGGCCATGGGCCTGATCCACCAGGCACTTCTTATGCCCTCCACGTGCCTTTGAAAGTTGCAACAGATCCTGGGACCCTTCATGGAGAAGGAGCAGCTATCTGGACTCAGCATTTGGTCCTTTGAAATAGAGAGGCAAGCAATTCTGGAACCATCTGAGTAACAATTTAAAAAGCAAATTTGATTCTCCAGCCTCTCCACGTGTCTCAGTTATGTTGGATGGGGTGTTTCAGGGTGGGGCTAGATATTTAGTCTGTTTACACTTTAACATTATTGTCTTCCATTTAGTCCGTAAGAGTTAAAAATGTAAGTTATTGGCTTTTTTTTTTTAAGGTATTCCTCTAATATTTTGGAAGCAGAATTAGAAAAGACCTGAATTTCAAAGAACATCGAAATTTGCTGTTTTGCTGAATTTCCTGGGGCATTTCAGCACCATCTGATGAAGGCCCCTTCTGCACCAAACATGACGCTTTAAGCAGCTGTGGCTTCACCCCCCAAATATCCTGGGAGTTGTCATTTGTTAAGGGTGCTGAGAGTTGTTGGGCGACCCCTGGTCTCCTCCCGGAGCTCCAATTCCCAGAGTTGGTTTAACAATCTATCCCTCTTCCGAGGGAACTCTGGGAATTGTAGCTCTCGGAGGGGAGCAGGGCTTGCCCAACAATTCTCAGCACCCTTAACAAACTAGAGTTCCCAGGATTCTCTGGGAGAAGCCATGACTGCTTAAAGTGGGATAATACTGCTTTAAAAGAATAGTGCGGATGGGGCCTAAGATTAGATGCAGCTCAGTGAAAATGGGCTGAGACGGCCATGAGACAGGATCTCTTTCTTCCTTTTGCAGTGAAGGAGAGCAGATCCCTTCTGGATCCCAGAAGCTTTTAGAATCATAGAATCATAGAGTTGGAAGAGACCACAAGGGCCATAGAGTCCAACCCCCTGCCAAGCAGGAAACACCATCAGAGCACTCCTGACATATGGTTGTCAAGCCTCTGCTTAAAGACCTCCAAAGAAGGAGACTCCACCACACTCCTTGGCAGCAAATTCCACTGTCGAACAGCTCTTACTGTCAGGAAGTTCTTCCTAATGTTTAGGTGGAATCTTCTTTCTTGTAGTTTGGATCCATTGCTCCGTGTCCGCTTCTCTGGAGCAGCAGAAAACAACCTTTCTCCCTCCTCTATGTGACATCCTTTTATATATTTGAACATGGCTATCATATCACCCCTTAACCTCCTCTTCTCCAGGCTAAACATGCCCAGCTCCCTTAGCCGTTCCTCATAAGGCATCGTTTCCAGGCCTTTGACCATTTTGGTTGCCCTCCTCTGGACACGTTCCAGTTTGTCAGTGTCCTTCTTGAACTGTGGTGCCCAGAACTGGACACAGTACTCCAGGTGAGGTCTGACCAGAGCAGAATACAGTGGCACTATTACTTCCCTTGATCTAGATGCTATACTCCTATTGATGCAGCCCAGAATTGCATTGGCTTTTTTAGCTGCCATGTCACACTGTTGGCTCATGTCAAGTTTGTGGTCAACCAAGACTCCTAGATCCTTTTCACATGTACTGCTCTCAAGCCAGGTGTCACCCATCTTGTATTTGTGCCTCTCATTTTTTTTTTTGCCCAAGTGCAATACTTTACATTTCTCCCTGTTAAAATTCATCTTGTTTGTTTTGGCCCAGTTCTCTAATCTGTCAAGGTTGTTTTGAAGTGTGATCCTGTCCTCTGGGGTGTTAGCCACCCCTCCCAGTTTGGTGTCATCTGCAAATTTGAACAGGATGCCCTTGAGTCCATCATCCAAGTCGTTGATAAAGATGTTGAATAAGACCGGGCCCAAGACAGAACCCTGTGGCACCCCACTAGTCACGCTTCTCCAGGATGAAGAGGAACCATTGATGAGCACCCTTTGGGTTCGGTCAGTCAGCCAGTTACAAATCCACTGAGTGGTAGCATAGTCAAGACCGCATTTTACCAGCTTCTTTACAAGAATATCATGGGGCACCTTTGCCCTGCAGTTTACATGGCTTGATTCAAAGTACCTTAAAGTGAGCAGCACAAAAGTGCTCTAAAATGCGTTAAGTCTCTTTCTTTCTTTCTTTCTTTCTTTCTTTCTTTCTTTCTTTGCCTGCCAGATATTCTGTTAGCTCTTCCACAAGGAATTGTGGAACGAAAGGAATGGCAAGAGCGTCTAAGATTTGATGGCTTCAAGATCCCAGTATAACTTTGGCTGGTGGGAACTAACGGCACAGTGCTGGTGCTTTTAACAGCTGCCAAGCCAAACCCTCAATTTGTGAAGAAGTGTGCATGCACACGAAAGCTTATACCCGGAACAAACTTAGTTGGTCTCTAAGGTGCTACTGGACAATGTTTTTATTTTATTTTTTTTATTTTGACTCCGTCAGACCAACACGGCTACCTACCTGAAACTCAGTTTCTCAGTTTCAGTCTTTGCAGGGTTAAAGTCCTGGGAAGTTCTGCTTCTATCCCAGACAGCCTTTTGTAGAAATCGCTCCTGCTACCCCAAAGGACTATCTCATTGGACTCTCAGTTCATCTGCCCCAGTATTTCCCAGTCTGGCTGTCCTTCCCATCAGCTGGTAGCCTTTTTCTAACTGGAGATTGAACCAGAGAACTGAGCCAGGGACCCTCTGCGCCCGAATTCAGGTGCTCTTGCCACTAGGCTAAAGACCCTGACCTCTTTGACCACGAAGGCTATATAGAATGATGCCTTTTTCATTTTTGTAAAATGTTAACTCTAAGGCTTAGTTTTCATAGTGGTGGGAAGCGGGTCAGGGCTCTGCTGCTTCCAATGATGGAATGTTCTTCCATATCCCTGCACATAGAAACAAAATCTGTCAAGGAGAAAGCCAGGCACAGCACTTTTCCTCCTGACAAACCCGTTTTCTATGTACAGACGGCTTTTTCAAATGGTCCTGTCGCCTGAGTTCATGCAATCCAAAAGGGCATATCATTTCATCTCCTGCCTATTAGAAGCAAGTTTAGCCTTTTAGGACACTGCGGGAACCAATAGGCCATGTATTCATGACTGCATGCTGCAACTGATGGGCAAGAGATTCTTGTCACATTCAGGAGTCGCCAAGGCAAACATTCCTGTTTCCATCGAAAGATGTGGAAACGGCTCAGCTGAAGATGTCATTTCAATGTCTGCAACGTCCAGACAAAAGTTGGCGATTCAGATTCTGTGGCCTCCAAAAAACTAGCCTAAGCATTTGACTGTCTGGCTCTTGATTGTCCATGCTGTGACATCACAGCAGCTAAGCCAATTGCAGCCAGAAAGGGAGGGGCAGATTTTTGTGTGTTTTTAGGAAATGAGAATGCAACTAGTCAATTATGATGGGCCCTCTATTCATGTAAATCTCCTGTCAGCTTCCGATTCGGTTTCCTTGCTACCAGTTTGTGTCAACGAACACTTAGGATCACAAGGGCAGACACTTCCAAGTTCCTCCAGAGGCCTGTTTATCTCCCTCCCCCCTTATCTTTTCAAGAATATCCATTAATTGTTCGCTTCATTACAAAACCCTTGCCTAAAAACACTGATTTATAAAAATAAGAATAGAAAAAAAAACCCTTGGGGCTTGGGCAAGTTTGGCCAAGGAAATAATACTAAAGACCACCATTTCCCATCAGGAGAAGGAGGAATCAACACAGGGTCCATGTCTCCCAAGGGCGAACCGAAGGACGAGAGTCTGTTGGAAGGCTCCCCAAAATCCCTGGCGCCTCCAAATCCTCCTCCTTAAGGCACCTGTCTACCTGGAGGTTTCTGCCTCGACATCGCCCGGCTGATAGAGGTACCTCCAGATGGCGTAATAGTGGGTGCCAGCTCCCAGCGCCACGAAGAGGTGCCAGATGGCATGGGCGAAGGGGATGCGCCCGTCGCTCTTGAAGAAGACAGTGCCCAAGCAGTAGAAAAAGCCACCAGTCACCAGCTCTGAAAGGCCGTCCGTGTTGGGCTGCAACAGGCAAGCGGAAAGAAAGGCCAGCGGTCAGTGATCAGGTGGCGGAATCCAGGGAGCACAGCCACGAGCCCCTCCTAAATAATAATTATTATTTAGGGAAGTTTTTAATGTCCGATGCTGTATTGTTTTTAATATTCAGTTGGAAGCCGCCCAGAGTGCCTGGGGAAACCCAGCCAGAGGGGCAGGGTATAAATAATATATTATTATTATTATTATTATTATTATTATTATTATTAAGCATCCCTATTTTCCAGGGACTGTCCCAGATTTACAGAGGCTGTCCCGGTTTCTGATTTGATCCCAGAATGTCCCACTTTTCCTTAGGATGTCCCTATTTTCATCACAGGGTATGGCGTTATGTGACCCCCCCCCCCAAAGTAAAGGAAATAAGTCACGGCCTTTAGAAGACATCTGAAGGCAGCTCTGTATAGGGAAGGTTTTTTAAATGCTTCATGTTTTATTATGTTTTTATATACAGTCGTACCTTGGTTTTCGAACTGCTTAGTTCTCAAAGGTTTTGGCTCCCGGACGCAGCAAACCCGGAAGTGACTGTTCCAGTTTGTGAACTATTTTTGGAAGCCAAATGTCTGACGGGACTTCCGCAGCTTCCAATCAGAAGCCATGCTCTGCTTTCCGAATGTTTTGGAAGTTGAACGGACTCCTGGAATGGAGTCCGTTCGACTTCCGAGGTACGACTGTATGTTGGCAGCCTCCCAGACTCACTGGGACAACCCAGTCAGATGGGCAGGGTATAAATATTATTATTATTATTATTATTATGGAATAGGACATCCCTATTTTCATCAGATAAACGTTGAAGGGTATGGAGAAATGAGAAGTGGCGGCTGCTTCTGGGTTCAGGCAAGATCCCGCGAGAACCCCATGAAATTTTGGGGAACTCTTATGAGATCTTGTCATGGGCTGGCACTTTCCCATTTTGCCTCAGGTGGCAAAACAGAACAGTCCACCCCTGGGCACAAGCACCTCTGAGCACCTTCGCTGGGTGCTAGACGTTACGAGGAAAAACGCAGGCATCTCAGCCTCATGTAACGTGAATCTTATTCATTTAATGTGTTTATATCGTGCCATGCTCCCTACGTTTCCAAGCACAATTCAAAGTGTTGGTGCTGACCTTGAAAGCCCTAAATGGCTTCGATCCAGAAGACCTGAAGGAGCGTCTCCACCCCCATCGTTCCGCCTGGACACTGAGGTCCAGCGCCGAGAGCCTTCTTGTGGTTCCCTGCCTGCAAGAAGCGAGGTTACAGGGAACCAGGCAGAGGGCCTTCTTGGTGGTGGCGCCCGCCCTGTGGAACCCCCTCCCACCAGATGTCAAGGAGATAAACAACTATCTGACTTTTAGAAGACATCTGAAGGCAGCCCTCTTTAGGGAAGCTTTTAATATTTGGTGAATTATTGTATTTTAATGCTGAATCATTTGCTTTATCTATTTCCTCATGTTCTATGTAAGAGCGCTGAATTGAATTTTGGCCAGTAGTGGAGACAGTAGTGGAGAAATAAATAAACAACTATCTGATGTTTAGAAGACACCTAAAGGTGTTTAGGGAAGTTTTTAATGACTGATGTTTTAATGTATTTTTAATTTTTGGTTGGAAGCCGCCCAGAGTGGCTGGGGAAACCCAGCCGGGTGGGCGTGGTATAAATAATAATTTATTATTATAATAATATTGTTATCCCCCCTGCCCCACTTGAAATGCAAGGACAGGACCGTAAGTGCAAAATCAGTGCACTGCACTCTATCCCAGGTAACGTACCATGGAGAGAATGACCACTGCAGGAAGGAACCCCATGATGACGTAGCACACCAGCTCCACCAACTTGTATCTGGAAGAAAGGAAAGCAACTTCTTTTGAGATGCAAATGAAGTACCGGGCAGGCTGGATTCGTTTACGAGAAATCCGGGTTCAACTTTCCATCATTTCCCCACAATTAAAAACAGAAGGCGTACACAAGGGACAAAAATCTGGGCTTGCGAAAAGTATTTCGTTCCACGAGGGGGTGCTGTAAGCCTGGAAACGATGCCTTATGAGGAACGGCTAAGGGAGCTGGGCATGTTTAGCCTGGAGAAGAGGAGGTTAAGGGGTGATATGATAGTCATGTTCAAATATATAAAAGGATGTCACATAGAGGAGGGAGAAAGGTTGTTTTCTGCTGCTCCAGAGAAGCGGACACGGAGCAATGGAGCCAAACTACAAGAAAGAAGATTCCACCTAAACATTAGGAAGAACTTCCTGACAGTAAGAGCTGTTCAACAGTGGAATTTGCTGCCAAGGAGTGTGGTGGAGTCTCCTTCTTTGGAGGTCTTTAAGCAGAGGCTTGACAACCATATGTCAGGAGTGCTCTGATGGTGTTTCCTGCTTGGCAGGGAGTTGGACTCGATGGCCCTTGTGGTCTCTTCCAACTCTATGATTCTATGATTCTATTCTATGATTCTAAGCCAACTTTGCGCCAGCCGTAGATCATCGTAAGGGCTTAGCGACACATGGTTTGCCTTGTTAGATTGCTAGTTCCTTCATTTGTGGGGTAGGGACTATAGTACAGTCCTACTGACCGGTGACACCAGATTTACCCAGAGCTTAACTCTGCTTTTCAGCTAGTATTAGTTTTCAGCTGAATGTGAAAAGGTATTCCGAAACACTTACATGTTTGCTGTTTCACAATTTATTATTATTATTTGCTTATATAATAACAGGCCCAGCAAGTGTCCCTATTTTCCAGGGACGGTCCCAGATGTACAGAAGCTGTTTCTGATTTGATTCTGGAATGTCCCGCTTTTGTTTAGGGCGTCCCTATTTTCACCAGAGAAATGTTGCAGGGTGTGCAACAGTTGCAGGAATTTATGTACAGGTTGGGGGGGGCAGGTTGGCCCTCCATCAGATATCATGCACATGCAGCCCACTGCTAACATCAGCACAGTCACTTTTGTGACTTTTGTGACTTGTCCCCACAAAACACTTCATCACAGTTTCTTCCTATCTATTCAAAGGGACTTTGCTGCACGATACCAAATGTAATAATTTGCTGATCAATGTATCTGTGTACTGGCTCACTGGGAAAACTTCAGAAATTCATATAGACATGTGAGCTCAGCTACTCAGCAGCCCCTCTGCCTGAGTGATAATCCCTGGCATCCTGATACCTGAGTGCCAGACAGGTAGCCATTCCAGAAATCACAAACCCAGATGAAGACAAAAGGGTGTGATTAACTTGGCTGGGAAACAGGGAAATGTAAGATCTCTTTTGTTCCACTTGATGGGTGTTTGGTGGAGGGCAAGGGGAACCATGGGGCAGGGTCCAGGATGCTCAGATTCCTGCCACCAGACCTCCCCTTTCATGATGTAACTGTGAGTGTATGAGTGATGTAGTTTGGGGGGAGGGTGTAACATGGGGATTAACAGCTAATAAAAGTTTGGGGGCTCTTTTGTTTGGGGCTTCCATCTTGTTCCACCTGGTGGCAGGTGGGAGTCCTGTCGCGACAGAGACCAAGCCTACTGGCTGCTCTTTTGCTCTGTTATTCCTTGCTGGTGTCCTTGTTTTTTGTCCAAGTTAACACTCCCGAGTAGGAGGGCCTGAGGCCGAGTTGGCCCTACTCTTCCAAGTAGCCAAGGGGGCAGGGCAATAGAGCATGGAGAACTGTAGTCTAACAACATCTGGAGGTTTTCCTTTTTTTGTAATATTTTTTATTAGGTTTCCATTTTACATAGTTAAAGCACAACCTTATTTTAACTCATGGGTCTTTGCACCTATGAGCTAATCGACTTCCCTCCCTCCTGCTTCATGGTTACCATAATCCCATTCTGCGTCATAGCATTTATACTTTTTTCCTATTTGGATTTCATTCATCTCCATTGTCACAATATTAAATGAATATATAAAAAGGTATCTTTTTTGCTTTCAATCTGATTTTAAGCTGTATTTTAGTCGATCATTGAATTTTATGTCTTAATATATTTTGATGTTAGCCACCCTGAGCCCGGTTCTGGCTGGGGAGGGTGGGATATAAATAAAAATTATTATTATTATTATTATTATTATTATTATTATTATTCAGAAGCATTGCTGCCTTGTTGGTAGCCATCAATAGCCTAACCCATGAATCTTCTTTTAAAGCCATCTAAAATGGTGGCCATCATTGCCTCATGTGGGAAGCAGTTCCACAGACTAACTCCGCACTGCTCGAAGAAACCTGGGACCTTCTGCATGCAAACGACTTCTGCCCTGTCACTGTGCCTCCGCCCTTCTTGTCGGCACTCAGCGCCCTCGGGGCATAGCGAGGTTTCGACTCACCGTTCATGGAAAAAGAAAACGTAGATGGTCCCGACGGAGGCCATGATCCAAATGATCCAGCGCATGTGGGAAGCCCAGGGTCCCAACTCCCGCAGATTCAGCCTGGGAGAAGAACAGAGACCATTGAGTGCTTGAGAGAAACAGGAGCCTGGAAAGGGGAAGAGAAAGAGACAAACACAGACGAGGAAACACACAATTCCAGAACAGCGAAGGAGGAGGGAGGTGGGACTGCAATGCTTACCTATGGACATTATTATTATTATTATTATTAATATACTGCCCTATTCCCGGAGGTCTCAGGGCAGTTCACAGAATAAAATCAAAATATAAAACCAAAAAATAGATAATCAAAATAAAAACAACAACTCAATAACACACACACACCCCATTTTAAAAGGGCATAGGATGTCATACAGGTCAGCCAAGAGCCTGGTTGAAAAGGGACATTTTTGCCTGGCGCCTAAAGGTGTATAACAAAGGCGCCAGGCGAACTTCCCTGGGGAGAGCATTCCACAGACGGGGAGCCACTAGGACAAGGCCCCGTTCTCGTGTTGCCACGCTCCGGAGCTCTCAAGGAGGAGGCACATGAAGGTGGGCCTCAGAAGATGATCTCCGGATCCGGGTAGGTTCATATGGAAAGAGGCGGTCCTTGAGGTATTTATAGGTCAAACCCAGCACTTTGAATTGAGCCCGAAAACTGATTGGTAGCCAGTGCAGTCGGACCAGAATCGGTGTAAGATGCTCAAATCGTCTTGCTCTGGTGAGCAAATGGCTCTGAATTCTGCACTAGCTGAAGTTTCCGAATAATTTTCAGAGGCATAAGATGGGGATCATGTGCGTGGCTTCATGAAATAATAACAAATATTATATCTATTATTATTACGGATGTATAGGCCATTTATCCCCCAAGGAGCTCAAGGTGGTGCTACACGGTTCTCCTCCCTCTCCATTAAACCTCCACAACCATCCTGCAAGGTAGGTTAGGCTGTGAAGGCAGTGACTCAACAAGCTTCAGCGATTGAACCTTGGTCTCCTGGTCCAGTACTCTAACCATTACACCACACTGCCCCTCTTCAAGTTTCTGAAAGGCTGGGTACACAGCTTGCGAAAACTCACCAAGGGGCATAGGAGGCAGCTATGAAGAAGTAGATGACCATTCTGTCAAACATGTGCAAGCAATGCTCCACAGTCCTGCAGAAGAGAGAGAGAGAGAAAGAACACTTTCATAAAGGTGTGGGGGGGTCAGTCTGGATGATACCTAGGGGTCCCTTCCAAACTTCTGATCCTGTCTGTGTAGGTGAGGCTATATTAAGAAGAAACCTGCCAGACAAGTTCCTTAGCCAGCCAGTCAAGTGCCACCATTTCCATGTCCAAATGAGTTGCCACGGAGACAAATGGGCTGGCCTTTCCCCACCTCACCTGTGTGGGATGTGATACATAAGTAACAGTCAAGTACAGCATTCCTTGTTTTCCTAGAGTGGACATGTGGGGAAATGTTTGGTCCAGCCAGTCGAAAACTTCCTGTTTCCTCCTGGCCTGGAGCATCCTTCCTCTTGCATGTGACCAGAGGTGGGCATGACCTTACCTGTCCAGGTAACAAAAGGATAAGTCACGCAGCACACACCCTCTCTTTTGACTTCCTCCATTGTTGGAGCAGCCTCCAGCCAACAGAGGACACTGGGATTGTCGCCATATGGAACAGATCCACATGTATATACTTTGTAACTAAGTCTGTCTTCAGGGATCCAACTGTGAACTGATGATGTGAGTAAACTTATTTTATATACTTTGCACAAGATTGTGGCGTGTTCATTCTTTTAAGAGGGATATAAGGGGACTTTAAAAGGTAAAGGGACCCCTGACCATTAGGTCCAGTCGTGGCCAACTCTGGGGTTGCGGCGCTCATCTCGCTTTACTGGCCGAGGGAGCCGGAGTACAGCTTCCGGGTCATGTGGCCAGCATGACTAAGCTGCTTCTGGTGAACCACAGCAGCACATGGAAACGCCGTTTACCTTCCCGCCGGAGCGGTACCTATTTATCTACTTGCACTTTGATGTGCTTTCGAACTGCTAGGTTGGCAGGAGCAGGGACCGAGCAATGGGAGCTCACCCCTTCACGGGAATTTGAACCACCGACCTTCTGATTGGCAAGGCTCTGTGTGCGCCACCCGCGTCCCATAAGGGGACTTACCAGGAACCTAATATTGAGAGGCTTAAACAAGCCTGCAACCAGCTATCTGCTGTGAGTTTAAAAGGGGAATGTGAAACTCTGCTATGTAAAGGAACTTGCTAGCGCAAGTTAGGAAAGATGTTAATAAACAATATACAGTGGTACCTCGGGTTAAGTACTTAATTCATTCCAGAGGTCTGTACTTAACCTGAAACTGTTCTTAACCTGAAGCACCACTTTAGCTAATGGGGCCTCCTGCTGCTGCCGCGCCACCAGAGCACGATTTCTGTTCTCATCCTGAAGCAATGTTCTTAACCTGAAGCACTATTTCTGGGTTAGCGGAGTCTGTAACCTGAAGCGTATGCAGCCTGAAGCGTATGTAACCCGAGGTACCACTGTATCCTCTCCTGCCTCCCTGAGCATTCCCCCAACCTGGCCGGCTGCTACGCCATCTTAGGATGGAGACCAAGAGACCAAGGTGGGCTCTCTGCTTGCTGCTGGAAGCTGGAGAGACAAGAGGCCTGCCTTGCTCAAAGAGCAAGTGAGCTCCATCGCCGCCATCGCCCGCCCTTGCGCAGCAGACGTCCGAGTTACCGCAAGTGGCTCTTCTTCCAGGAGATGGTGTGGAAGATGGTGGAGACGATGAACAAGCCAGACAGCCCAAAGCCGTAGATCCAGGCGGAGATGGTCTCCCAGGGGTTGTCCGAAAGGACGTGGAGGATGGAGCTCCCCAGGATGCTGGGAATGATCCAGAACTGAGAGGGAAGGAAAGGGAAGGGAAGGAAAGGTCTTTATGTCCCCCTTGATCTGGCCAAAACTAGCAGATTTCTCCCTCTCTCTCTCTCTCTCTCTTTAAAAAAATATTTTTATTAAACAATTTCAACCTAGCAATTCATCAATCCAAATATTCAATTACATTATTCCCCCCTGTATTTTTATTTTTTAAATAATTTTTTATTGAGTTTTACAATTTTATAATCTTCACAATCAGTGGCGTAGCGTGGGTTGTCAGCACCCGGGACAAGACAAGTAATTTGCGCCCCCTAACCCTGAGTGAGCCAGGTAGGGGCAGAGAGCTGCGAGTGCGAGCGCGCGCCCCTCCAGATGTGCGGCCGGCCCCCCCTGCACCTCCCACGCTACGCCACTGTTCACAATCAACATTATCTCAAAGACAAAAGAGAATATAAATCCCCAACCCCCCATGACTTCCCTCAACTTCCTTTTCTGGTTCTTTAAGTATTTGCTCCCCCTGCTTGTTTTGTTCTACCCTAATATTGCAATCTTTAACTTAAATATTGTTGTATTCTTAACATTTTTTATACCATACTTGTTTCCTCTTTCACTTATTTTCCAATTTTTGCATCTTTATTTCTATGTTGTTAGTTGTAAGTATTTACTCAAACCCTGCTAGTGAGTCCACTTCTTTGCAATGTTTCTGTAAATACAACATAAACGGTTCCCCGTCTTTTAAAAAGTCTCTATTGTCCTTGCCTCTAAGCTTTCCAGTTAGCTTCACCATTTCAGCATATTCCATCAGTTTTTCTTGCCATTCTTCTTTCTTTGGCATCTTGTTGTCTTTCCATTTTAGGGCTAGTAATATTCTAGCCACTGTTGTTGCATACATGAATAACTTCTGCTCTTTTGGCAAGTCTCGGCCTGTAATGCCTAGCAAGAAAGCTTCTGGCCTTTTAACAAATGTTATATTAAACATTTTTTTCATTTCATTATAAATCATTTCCCCAAAACTTTTGATTATTTGACAGTTCCACCACATGTGAAAAATCGTGCCTTCTTTTTCTTGTAATTTTATGCTTTGAACCACCCTGAGATCTATGGATGAAGAGCGGTAAACAAATTAATAATAATAATAATAATAATAATAAAACTCACAGCATGTGTGGCGCAATTGGCTGCATGTTCATATTCTGTGGGCTGGTATCTCCGGTTGGGCGGCACTCTGTGGTTCATAAACCTTGAAGGAGGAGAGAAGAGAGGAAGAAGTCAGCAAATAGATTGGTCTGCAAGAGGGAGGGGATATTTCCCAGTAACAGTCCAAATCTCACTAGAATGGATTCTCTGCCCAGCCTCGTGAGAAACAATCACTAACAATATTAATAGTAATAAAATACAAATTATATTTAAGTTAGTTCCTATGATTAATATTTATTTATTGCTAAATTTGCCGGTTGTAATTTATGTATGTGTTAGTGTGGTGTTGTTTTTTGAAAGCTTCTCTAAATTTTTATTTTCCATATAAATATATACATGCCAAAAAAAGAGTAGAGTTATACAAGTAATACAAGTTACCGAATACCAAAAAGGCACTAATAAAAAAAAAATACAAAAAATAAGAAAACGATACATATTGAAAAGAAAAAGAAAGAAAGCAGATATTTTTATATAAAAAAGTCAAAAGGAAAATAGAAAAAGTTGACTTCCTTCGACCACTATACAGTTTATATGATCTCATATCTTTAGTTGTCTGTAATCATTTTGCATTAATTAACTTACAATATTTTAAGCAAAGAAATCAAAGACATACATAAATAAACATATATTTTTATGTATGTGTTTGGTTTCTTTGCTTAAAATATTGTAAGTTGCTTTGTATTGCTGTGGTGAGGAGAGAGCAACTGATAGATTTAATAAATATGGACAAAGGACATTGGGTATACTGTAATAGACAATTTTCATTTTGGGAAAAGTTATGGAGGGAAGACTTAAAGTTTACAGCATGCTGTACGTTGAAAGAAAACTATACGAAAATTATTTGGCGATCACTTGTAGCCGAGTAAGATTGTCTTCCGTAAACACAGTTTTAGCAATGAGTCGATGTACTGTTGACACTTGACGCCTACGAGGTTAGCAAAAATGTATAATAATAATAATTTATTATTTCTACCCCGCCCATCTGGCTGGGTTTCCCCAGCCACTCTGGGCGGCTTCCAACAGAACACTAAAATACATAGAATTGCTACCAATATATGTTGGAAATGTAAAGAAAGAAAGAGAAGGCACTTTTTACCACATATGGTGGACATGCAATATAATGAAAGCTTTATGGGAAATGATATATAATGAGTTGAAAAAATGTTCAAGATAACATTTGTGAAAAAACCAGAAGCTTTTCTATTAGGAATTATAGGTGATGAAATACCAAAGGACTTTAAAAGACTATTTGTATATGTGACGACAACTGCAAGGATGCTTTTTGCCCAGAGATGGAAGGAAGTCAAAGTCCCAACCAGCAAAGAATGGAAAATCAAGATGATGGACCATGCCAAAATGGCAAAATTAACCAAACAAACCCCTGTGTTGCAAAGAGTACGTCAGCAATGTCTATGCAACACGATGACCATGTACACACGGAATAGACAATCTTTATAGAATTCCTTCAAACCATAACAAGTACAAAATGAAATCTTTAGTCTCAAAGTCTCTGAAAATCTTTAAATGAAACGAGGTACCAGACTTTGTATGATGAAAGACAAGCTTTGTATTCCGGAAATTGACTACTGTTTTGTAAATTCTTCGTCAACATGGTGGCTACATTATTACATGACCACTGTTCCACAGCATTTGATATTTTCATTTACATACATTCATTCAAATAAGATAGGTTTATGAAGCAATTATATATCCTCCCACCACGCTGACGAAGAATTCTACAAAACAGTAGTCAATATCCAGAATCACTGTTCAATGTTGGAGATCATATTTGCCGAATACACAAAGCTTCACAGCTGGGGACCACAATTTAAGTTGACAAGCTAGAAGGTGTGCAGAGGAGGAAGACCAAGATTATCAAGGGTCTGGAAACCAAGCCTGATGAGGAGCGGTTGAAGGAGTAGTCTGGATGTTTAGCCTGGAGGAGACTGAGAGGAGATAGGATAGCCATCTTCAAATATCTCAAGGGCTCCTACATGGAAGATGGAACCAGCTTGTTTTCTCCTGCTCTGGAGGGTAGGACCTGAACCCATAGCTTCAAGTTACGAGAAAGAAGATTCCAAAGAAACATACGGGGGGAAAACTTTCTGCCAGCAAGAGCCACTCAACTATGGAACCGTCTCCCTTGGGAAGTTGTGGACTCTCCTTCCTTGGAGGTTGTTAAGTAGAGGTGGGATGGCCATCTGTCTCGGATGCTTTAGCTGAGATTCCCGCATTGCAGGTGTTGGACTGCATGACCCCTGGAGGTACCGTTCAAGTCTACAATTCTGTGACCTGTCCCCTGTTTACCTGGGCAAGACCTGCCCCCGTGGCTTCATTCATTGCATTGATAAGCTGTGCTAACCCACCCTAGGACTCCTTGGGAAAAGGGGAGCTAGTTGTTGTTGTTGAGTCGTTTAGTTGTGTCCGCCTCTTCGTGACCCCCTGGACCAGAGCACGGCAGGCACTTCTGTCTTCCACTGCCTTCCGCAATTTGGTCAAACTCATGCTGGTAGCTTCGAGAACACTGTCCAGCCGTCTCATCCTCTGTTGTCCCCTTCTCCTTGTGCCCTCCATCTTTCCCAACATCAGGGTCTTTTCCAGGGAGTCTTCTCTTCTCATGGCCAAAGTCTTGGAGCCTCAGCTTCAGGATCTGTCCTTCCAGTGAGCACTCAGGGCTGATTTCCTTCAGAATGGAGAGGTTTGATCTTCTTGCAGTCCATGGGACTCTCAAGAGTCTCCTCCAGCACCATAATTCAAAAGCATTGATTCTTCGGCGATCAGCCTTCTTTATGGTTCAGCTCTCACTTCCATACATCACTACTGGGAAAACCATAGCTTTAACTATACCGACCTTTGTTGGCAAGGTGATGTCTCTGCTTTTTAAGATGCTGTCTAGGTTTGTCATTGCTTTTCTCCCAAGAAGGGGAGTTTAAAAGCGTATAAATAAAAGAACAGTGTTTGGGGCTTTTTTTTTTTAATAAAAAAAAATAACCTCCTGTATGTTTCTGTGGAAACCGTGACATCACTCTGAAGCCCTGGGTGCCCAGGAGACACAGAAAGGATTTCATTTCCCCCACATCACCCAAATGGGGGGTTCCAGCGAGGCGCCCAAGGTTGCTGGGCAACCACAACAGGAGAATAATGCGCTGTTGTCTCAGAGCTATTTGGTGCGCTGCGTGGAGGAGAAATGCTTTGAGGGGAGGCAGCCTGGAGGTCTCTTTGTGAACCGGGAACCTGGATCTGAGGGAGACGCGGGGCGCGGAATGGGATACATAAAGAGGCTTTGAGTTCCGTCAGTGTCAATCCATTTCCCCAAGCCTGGGGAAGCCAGCCCCCGAGTTTATTAATGGATTCCTTGATGCAGACGGGACCCTCAAGGCAGTTTACTGATCAATCGTTTCAAACCCACGCTTAGAAAAAGAAATGCAATGTGGTCTTTGGGGGTGGCGCATAAAAACCCCATCAGCAAAATTCAACGTGGTTTGGCAGGGAGAGCGAGAAAAGCACACGAGATCGGGGGCAAGAAGGTCAACACACACACAGCAACTCTCAGTTGTGGAGGTCAAAGGGGCCTGTTTTCGTTCCCTTCATTTCTTTCCGTATAAGCAATCCGGTGGAAACATCTCTATCTGGTAATGAAAGGGGCATAGTGAGAGGCCAGCTGAATGTAGTGAGGTGAAGAATTAGGCAACTCTGGTGCCTCAGAGGGGACAAACCTGTTGCATTTCAGAAGAACACATGGAGAGGGGGATCCTGCCACCTGAATGAACTGAAATTGAAACACTTTATTGTCACTTGTACAACTTGTATAGGGACGCGGGTGGCGCTGTGGGTTAAACCACAGAGCCTAGGACTGGCCAATCAGAAGGTCGGTGGTTCGAATCCCCGCGACGGGGTGAGCTCCCGTTGCTCAGTCCCTGCTCCTGCCCACCTAGCAGTTCGGAAGCATGTCAAAGTGCAAGTAGATAAATAGGTACCACTCTGGTGGGAAGGTAAACAGCGTTTCCGTGCGCTGCTCTGGATCGCCAGCAGTGGCTTAGTCATGCTGGCCACATGACACGGAAACTGTACGCCGGCTCCCTCGGCCAAGAAAGCGAGATGAGCACCGCAACCCCAGAGTCGTCCGCGACTGGACCTAATGGTGCCAGTCTTCTAATTTGAGTGTTACACTGAGGTCTGTCTGTTTTTGCTATTTATTTTCCGTTTTTGTTTTTCTTTGATTGCATGACTGCAGCACATTGTTTATTGCTTTCATTTTATGGATCAATGGTCTCGTTAGATAGCAAAATCCATGTTAAATTGTTGTTTTAGGGGTTGTTTTTAAAAGTCCAGAATGGATCGGTCCATTATGCATTACTTTCTATGAGAAAGCGTGCCTTAGTTCTGGAACGGATTAAGTTTGAGAAGCAAGGTACCACTGTAATTCAAAACCAAATTATTACTATGTATATAATTTGGCTTTGAATTACAAACCGCATCCCTTACCACTGTACATATGGATGCCACTAAAATCTTCTCATTGCTTAGGGCCCCTAAGGTATTGATTCAGCCCTGTAGACAGCACACTGGTTCACCAGCTCTTGTGCTTTCAAGCATTATCTTATTATTATTATTACAACAAGAAGAAAAATGAAACCCGTTCAGAGTGTGGAGAGAAACAAGGCCCTCTACTAATTGAGCTGATTTCAAAGCTGCACTAGCAGCTGGACAGTTGGCAGCCCTCCCCGACGTCAAAGATTGCTGAGAGATGGGCAAACATCTGAGATTAACAGGGGAGGCTTGTTGAGGCGGCTGAAGGCTTCTCACAACCCTGTTCGCCCCCTTGTCTTCTCCTGCTTCCCCGAAAGAGGGGGAGAGAGAGATTTAAAAAGAATTACCTTGAGTTCCCAGCTTTCCGGGCTCAGAAACAAAGGGCTGCTTGTCCCTCAAAATCAAAGACAAGTCCAACACCAGCCTCCCGCATTCCCTTCCTTTGTGTGTGTGTTTGCTCGCAAGGATTCGGGAGGAAATATCTTGTGCCGAATGCCAGACAGCCAGTGGATGGGGGTATTTCCTCCCCTTTTCTAGCTGTTGCATTCAAGGGGGGGATGAATGGTCCCCTGGCAAGACTCCATTGCTTAGGAGCGGGACACCTGCTCTGCATGCAGAAGGCTCCAGCTTCCATCCCCAATGCCATCTCCACTTAGAGGAAGGATCTGTTCAGGGAAGTTCTTACCGTATATTTCGCTCCATAAGACGCACTTTTTTCCTCTTAAAATCTAAGGGGAAATGTCTGTGCGTCTTATGGAGCGAATGTGTGGTCCCTGGGGTGAGGAACCCAGGCTTCCCCCACTGCCAGCCCCACAAGCTTCTCTTTGGGACTGGGGGGTGGGGCAGGCTTCACCCACCAGCCCACAAGCTCCTGAGCAGCTCTGGGGTTAGCCCTCGAAGCCTCCGCAGGGCAGTGGGGAGCCTTCATCCCACTGCCCTGGGGAGGCTTCGCGCGGCTATCCCTGGCTTTTGCGGGAGGTGGGGGAAGGGACAGAGCGAGTGTGTGTGTGGCTCTTGGGGGCTTTTCCCCAAGGGCAGCCCATTAGTGATGGGCTGGGGTACAAATAATAAATTATTATTATTATTATCATCATCATCATTATTATTGTTATTATTATTATTATCTGGCCTCGGGAGCTGTCTCTTGAGACCCCAGAGAGCAGAGATGGGGAACCTCTGGTACCCAAAACTGCTGGACCACATGCTCCCAGCATCTCTGTCCTGCCTGGAGCTGATGGGAGCCGGTTTGCAGGACCACAAACCCTCCATCCCCACCAGTAAATGGGTCTGAGTGCCAATTGCTAGAAACCACAGGAGCAGAGAGTTGCTCTTGTGTTCGAGTCCTGCTTGCACTTTTCCCGCAGGTGTCTAGCTGGCCACTGTGAGAACAGGATGCTGGACTAGACGGGACATTGGCCTGATCCAGCAGTCTCTACATACCGTATTTTTCGCTCCATAAGACGCACTTTTTTCTTCCTAAAAAGTAAGGGGAAATGTCTGTGCGTCTTATGGAGCGAATGTGTGGTCCCTGGAGCCGAATTGCCCAGGAGAGAAAAGCAGATCATGCTTGGTTTTTTTCTGAAAGAGGGAAGTGGGTGTTGAAAGGAAGCAGCTGATCGGCAAGCAATCGGGGAGGGAGCTAAGGGATGCAAGAGATAAAGGAGGCTACCTGGGAGGGGGGAGGTAAAAGCCCATGGATCCTCAGGATTTTTACATTGGGGCACCCCAAATTCACCATCAGATCACGTAGCATGTCCATGGCTACAGCCTGCACCACAAAAATCATACATCCACTGTTTCGTTCAGAATTTTTTTTTCTTGTTTTCCTCCTCTAAAAACTAGGTGCGTCTTATAGTCGGGTGCGTCTTATGGCGCGAAAAATACGGTATGCTATTATGTTTCCTGTCTCAGTTTTATTCACGCAGGTGGCAGAATTCCACTGTTCCTTTATGCAGAAAGAAGTTGGGTTATGGCAGCCAGTTTTACCTGCAGATTTTACCCTGTTTCACCAGCTGTTATTTATGACTGCTGTTATTTATTAAATTTGTATACCACCCTCGATCCATAGATCTCAGGGCGGTTCATAGCATAAAAGCTACACTGGCTGCTCGACTTCCAGGATCAATTCAGAGTACTCTAAGTGGCCTGTGACCCAAAAATCTGGGACCCATATGAGCCAGCCCAGCCAAGGGTGTGTAAATTTGCTGGATACCCACCTTTGAGGCAAGTGGGGGCCTCCTGGGGGGTGAGGTTTTCTGTCCCAGCATCCAGATTTTGGAATATTCTCCCCGGCCACTATTCATCAGGCTCCTCTGTTAAATAGGGCTTGCGTCCAACTAAACCATACTCAAGAGTAGACCCATTTAAATCATTACAAGGACAGTCCAGGTTGGAGGCAGTAAATGGGTCTGGGTGCCAATAGCTGGAAACCACAGGAGGAGAGAGTTGTCCTTGTGCTTGGATCCTGCTCTCTGGTCTCCTACGTTGGCCTCTGTGAGAACAGGATGCTGGCCTGATCCTGCAAGCTCTTCTTTCAACGATGATAAGAATGAATGCCAAAATGTATAAAATAAGTAATAAATGTTGGAAATGTAAAGAAAAAGAAGGAACTTTTTATCACATGTGGTGGGAATGTAAGAAAGTGAAAAGCTTCTGGGAAATGATATATAACGAGATGAAAAAGATTTTGAAATATACATTTATAAAAAAAAAACCAGAAGCATTTTTACTTGGCATTGTAGGGGAGGATATTAATAGACAGGATAGTAAATTGTTTTCATATGCAACAACGGCAGCAAGAATATTATTGGCACAAAAACAGAAACCAGAAGAACTACCGACAAAAGAAGCATGGCAGACGAAATTAATGGACTACGCAGAATGAGATAAGACAACAGGAAGGATTCGAAACCTGCGGGACCAGAGATTCTCAGAGGACTGGAGTAAATATTTGAACTATTTGAAAAGCAATTGTAACAAACAGATTACGCTAGTGGGACTGCAAGAAGTTTTGTAAGGAGGATTATGTGAAATATTGCAAGGAAGACTACGAAGAGAATTATTAGTTAAGGACAATTAAAAGTAATAGAGAAATTAAGAAATGTAAATTAAGTGATAAAGATTGAAAAATCTTCAGATGTGGTTGATGGAAGTCCAAAACAGTATAGGGGCCGAAGGCTTTGCTCCCCACTGCCAGCATTTTAAAAGCAGTCCGGGATAGCAGGAAGCGCTTCCCGCTATCCCGGACGGCTTTGAAGGCAGGAGAGGTCCGCGAAGCCTGGGCGCGCTGATCTCAGCGCGCGCAGGCATCGGCATGCCGGCAACTCTCCGCAAGCAGCGCTGCCGCTGCTCGCGGAGAGGTCCGCGAAGCCTGGGCGCGCTGATCTCAGCGCGCGCAGGCTTCGGCATGCCGGCAACTCTCCGCAAGCAGCGGCAGCGCTGCCGCTGCTCGCGGAGAGGTCCGCGAAGCCTGGGCGCGCTGATCTCAGCGCGCGCAGGCCTCGGCATGCCGGCAACTCTCCGCAAGCAGCGGCAGCGCTGCCGCTGCTCGCGGAGAGGTCCGCGAAGCCTGGGCGCGCTGATCTCAGCGCGCGCAGGCTTCGGCATGCCGGCAACTCTCCGCAAGCAGCGGCAGTGCTGCCGCTGCTTGCGGAGAGGTCCGCTAAGATAAGAAAGTATGGTATATGATTTTTGGAAATTATGTGTGTGTGTGTGTGTGTGTGTGTGTGTGTGTGTGAATGCATGGCAGGAAGGCATTAATTTTACTGCATGCAGTGCACTTAAAGAAAATGTTATGAAAATGATGTAGAGATGGTATTTAACACCAGCAAAACTGGCTAAAACGTTCAAGACAAGAACCAATGCGTGTTGGGAATGTAAAGAAAGGGAGGGTATCTTCTACTACCACATGTGGTGGACTTGTAAAGAGGTAAAGGCTTTCTGGGAAATGATATAAAATGAGCTAAAGAAAATGTTTAAACAAGCCTTTCTATTAGGGATAGTGCGTGAAGAGACACCAAGGGAAGATAAAAGACTGTTTGCGTATGCAACAAGTGTGGCAAGAATTCTTTTAGCCCCAAAATGGAAACAAGAAGAAGTACCAACGAAAGATGAGGGGCAGATGAAGATGATGGACTTTCCTGAACTGGCAAAGCCGCCGGGAAAAATCCGAAACCAGCATGATCAAGGATTCCAAAAGGACCGGAGTAAATTTATACGATATTTGAAAGATTATTGCATCACTAGCAGGGTTGTCTGAAGACTTGTAATGAGAAATTTCCTACCTTTCTATATTTATTTACATTTTGAGCCGTTTTGTAATGAGTGTAATTAGAATTGGACAACGTACAAAATGCAATGAGATAAAGGTGAATTTCAATAGCCATGAGGCAGGAGGGAAAGAAGTCGATTGGCTCTAAAGAGCCAGAGCGGTAAAGTGGATGATAATGATGATGTGAATGTATATAATTAAATGGAAAATAAATAAAAAATAATGAATGCATGGCAGGATTTGGGGGAAGGGCAGCAGCGGCAGTGACTCAGAACAGTGCAGAATCCCAATTTAAAGATTTTAAGAAGCAGTATGCCAATTTGGGGTGTGATTTTCATGCCTTTGGGATGAAAGGAATGCCAGCAAGAAGAAAAAACAGCTAGGAAAACCAGGGTGGGGGGTAATGCCACAAGGATGGGAAACAACAGCATGGAGAGGCTCTGAGCATCTGTCGGTGGAAGGAGTTGTCAGGGAAACTGAGGACTGAGGAAGCTAAAACGAGGAAGGCTATGCAGCAGAAGGAAACTGGGAGGTGCAACAAATTGATGCATGTTCAGTACCAGGCCTGCACTACCACTAAGAGAGCAACCTTTGGAGCAGGGGTCCCCAAACTAAGGTCCGCAGGCCGGATAAGCCCCAAGGGACTCGTTTATCCAGCCCACGGCGATCCCTGCCACCCGCTGCCGCTGCCCGCTCTTACCGGCACTGCGCTGCACGGTGCGGCTGTCCACTTCCGGATCAGAGGAGCACCGGAAAGAGAAGAGTTTGGATTTGATATCCCGCTTTATCACTACCCGAAGGAGTCTCAAAGCGGCTCACAATCTCCTTTCCCTTCCTCCCCCACAACAAACACTCTGTGAGGTGAGTGAGGCTGAGAGACTTCAGAGAAGTGTGACTGGCCCAAGGTCACCCAGCAGCTGCATGTGGAGGAGCAGAGAAGCGAACCCGGTTCACCAGATTACAAGACTACCGCTCTTAGCCACTACACCACACTGACTCTATTTCACACTGGAAATAGCTTGTGTGCATGCGCAAGCATTATTTCCGGTGCACATCTGGGTCGGAGGAGGCCCGTGCACACGCGCACAAGCTATTTCCGGTGCTCCTCCGACCCGGAAGTGCACCAGAAATAGTGTGTGCGCACGCGAATGGGCACACACTCTTCGGCTTGCCGCGTGGTCAGCACTGGAGACACCGGCCCGAGGCGCGGTAAGTTTGCTGACCCCTGCTTTGGAGCCTACTTTCCAGCGTTGATGCTCAGTGGTAGGTATCCATGCGGAAGGTCCCTCCTTCCATCTCTGACTGGCAACATCCTCTCTCTGAGACCCTGCAGGGCTGCAGCCCGTCACTGCAGACAACTGAGAGCCAGACGGACCGGGGGACTCAGTATAAATCTGAGCTCCTTTTCAAATGCTGAGGCTCATCCCTGCTGCAACGTGTGTTCGTCGTGGTGAGCAAAGGCAAGGGTGCCTCTGAGGGCGTGCAGAGAACCTTCCCTTCACTGCCGAGTCACTGGGGACCAGAGACCAGGGATAGCTTTCACGCTGTCCTGTTCTCTTTGTAATCGCCATTGGCTTCCCTCTGTCTCGGGAGACGATGGAGGAGGATGGAGTCAAAAACGGTTGGAGAGTCACAGCGCCAGCTGTGGCTGTAGAAACCAACAGGGGAAACAACATTTTATCTAACCTAAGCAATTTTCTCTAATGTGTTTTTAAAAATATGAAAAGAGCCTGCTGGATAAGACCAAGTTGAAAGGTCAAGAAAGAATAATATGGAATGTAATTGAGTGCAAGATGTAATTACGAAAGAAAATTTGGTATAAAAATGGCAAGAATTTAAGTGTATTGAGGTATAAGATCATAAAAACAAGACAAAAATTAAGCAGAAGTAATAAATGTTTGAAGAACCAGAAGGGGAAGTTGAGGGAAGTCATGGGGAGGGGTTTTTTTCTTTTCTTTTTTGTTTATATGGCAAATTGTGTTATTTGGTTGAATATTAAATTGTAAAAATCCAATAAAATTTGTTTTTTTAAAAAAGGAAAGGAAACCTGCAAGCAGGATTTGAACACAGGAGCCCTTTCCCCTCCTGCATGCATTTTAACAAACTATGGAGCTTAGAGGAACTTTTACACCCTCTTTAAAAATATTTTAAATTATCAGGGCATCAAGACAGGAAGGAAGATCGTCATGGCGAGAGGGAGAGCATCCTGTCCTCCTGGCAGCTGCCCCAGTGTTTGTTTTCCTCATCCCTCCGCAATCCTTTTTCCTTTTGTATCATGTCTTTTAGATATCAAGCACGCAGGCAGAGACTTTTAACGGTGCTCCGAAAATCTGGCATGCTTTGTAAGCGCTAGATACCGCAGCTGTTAATAATAATAGTCACAATAGCACTTGCTTGCTTAAAATCTTAAGCTGCCAGTTAGATTTGCACAACTGGGTGCACTAAGTGTTGCACTCCAGGTAATGAAACCTTGATTTCAGTGAAGACTTTCTCTTACTTTTGTTCATCTGCTTGCAGCCAGCAGTCGGCCTTTTGCTAATTCCCCTCGGCTGGACTCTGGGTCTCTTTATCCTTTCGATCTGTAATCTGATAATGCTCTCACTACAAGCTTTGAAAATAGGATTTTCTGTCTTCCTTCCCTCTTGCGCTTATAAACAGGCCACTTCTGGGTAGCGAATTACATTCTAAACCAGCAGAAAATGCATGCCACACCCACCCTAGAGGGCTGTAAATGAGCATAGAAAAGATCTGCCCCATTTGTGGCAGCATGGAGTGCTTCGCCAGTAGAGTGTGGCACAGCCTCTAGTTTATATTTTAACTTTTTTGTTTTGTAAAACAGTAAAAAAGAAACTGCAGATCCAAAAAGGGAGGGGAGAATCCCCAAATACGGGTGCTTTCATATTAAGAGGACCTTAAGGTCCATGAATAACCATAGTTTAGAGGTCCTGGGCCCTAAGGAAGTCAGACTATCCTCCACCAGGGCCAGGGCCTTCTCAGTGGTGGCTCTGACCTGGTGGAATGCTCTGTCCCAGGAGAACAGGGCCCTGCAGGATTTAACCTCCTTCCGTCAGGCCTGTAAGACAGAGCTATTCCGCCTGGCCTTTAATTTGAACTCAGCCTGATCTTTTATTTCCCTTCTCTTCCCTCCCCCTCCCCTTTTATGAAGATTACCTGCTCTGAGACCCCACAGCTAATTTTCCCCTGGTCTCCTCAATGGCCCAAGTAGGACCAATTCAGCCAGCTAGCCCTGGGGATTATCTAATGCTTATTTCCCCTAAAGTGATTTCTGTATTTTATTATTATTCATGTTTTTATACTGTATTTTATGCTGCTTTTACAATTAAGTGTTTTAAATTTGTTGTTAGCCGCCCTGAGCCTGGTTTTTGAACCGGGAAGTGCGGGGTATAAATTAAAATTTACTATCATTATTATTATTAACCAACATAAATCAATGGGGTAGAGAAATAATAGAATCACAGAATTGTAGAGTTGGAATGGACCCCAAGGGTCATCTAGTCCAACCCCCTACAATGCAGGAATCACTGCTAAAGCATCCACGACAAGTGCCCACCCAATCTCCGCTTAAAAACCTCCAAGGAAGGAGAGTTCGTCGCCTCCCGAGGAGGTCTGTTGCAATGTCAGGCAGCTCTTACATCAAAATGTTCTTCCTAACATTTAGTAGGAATCTCCTTTCTTGCCATGTGAAGCCCTGGGTTCGAGTCCTACCCTCCAGATCAGGAGAAAACAAGTCTGCTCCATCTTCCATGTAGGAGCCCTTCAGATAGAGGGCTCTCATATCACCTCTCTGCCTCCTCTTTTCCAGGTTGAACGCATCCCATCAATCGACAAAACGGAAAGGATTTCCAGCACCGAGGAGGAAGAGAGATGGGTGGAAATAATCCCGTCTCTGCCAAAACACCTACGCATGTGCTCAAGCGCGCATGTCCTGTCCCCTGTTTTTGAACAACCAAATGCATCTCCTACGCACCCATCTGGAGCGCCAGGTGTTGAAAGGGCAGCTCCGCACAGATTCTGGCTTGCATGGGGCTCCCCGCCTCCCTCGCCCCTCCGGAAGAAACACAATCTTTAAAATAAAAAAACAGCACAGGCACCTCTGCTAAAGGGAGGTTCGCTCGCAGGACAGACAACTGCAGGAAGGTTCATTCATCTTCTCCGGACTATGGTTGCCAGTTCATATGGCCAGGTATCCCACAAGGCCTTGGCAATTCCTGAAAAGGGGAGCTCAGGTAGAAGGGGCAGGTGGTATGGCTACGTTTTACCCCTACTCCCCAGGAGAGGCTCGGCTTGTGGGATGTGATACATATGTAGCAGACAAATACAACATTCCTTGTTTTCCTAGAGTGGATATGCAAGGGGATGTTTGGTCCAGCCAGTCGAAAACTTCCTGTTTCTTCCTGGACTGGGGTATCCTTCCTCTGGCATGTGACTAGAGGTGGGCGTGACCTTACCTGTCCAGGTAACAAAAGCGCAAGGCACACAGCCCTCCTCCCTCCTTTTCCATCTTCCTTTCGTCGTGTGAACTGCAGTGACTACCAGTCTGCAGTCACTCCGATTAACCCCCTATATGGGGTAGACCCACATGTATATACTTTGTAACTAAGTCTGCCTTCAAGGATCCAACTGTGAACTGATGATGTGAGTAAATTACTTTTATATATTTTACACAAGATTGTGGCGTGTTTATTCTTTTAAGAGGGAAAGAAAGGATCTTACCAGGAATCTATATTGAGAAGCTTAAACAAGCCTACAACCAGCTACCCACTGTGCTTTCAAAGGGGAATGTTAAAACTCGGCTAAGTTATAGAACTTGCTAGTGCAAGTTAGGAAGGATATTAATAAACAGTATATCCTCTCCTGCCTCCCTGAACATTCCCACATATATAATTGAATCTCTCGCCTTCTTTCGGTCAAAGTGAACAGGGCCTTTTTAGTGGTGGCTCCCCGTTTGTGGAATGCTATCCCCAGAGAGGCTCACCTGGCACCATCACTGCACGTCCTCTTTAACCAGGAAGGATAAGAATGCAAGAAGAGCCTCCTGGATCAGGGCATTCGCCCATCTTGACCAGCATCCTGTTCTCACTGTGGCCGACCAAATGCCCCAGTGCGAAACCAGCAAGCAGGATTCGACACAAGAGTAACTCTCCTCTCCTGAGGTTTCCAGCAACTGGGATTCAGAAAAATCGCTGCCTCTGACTGTGGAAGGCGAGCAGAGCCATTCTGGCTAGCAGCCCTCAATAGCTCTCTCCTCCTCCATGAATTTGTCCAATCCTCTTTTCAAGCCATCCAAGTTGGTGGCCATCTCTGGTCTCCTGCAACAGGGAGTTCCATAGTTCAGCTATGTGGACGATGGGCTTTCTTTTCCCTATCCTGAATCTTACAACATTCAACTTCATTGGATATCCACGAGTTCTGGTGTTATGAGAGAGGGGCAAAAACCTTTCTCCATGCCATGTCTAATTTTATAGTAGTACGACTCATGCAACACATTGGCGACTAATATACACACAATAATTACCAAAATAATTATACATTCTTTATCAATCTTCTGAGAAAAATACAAAACCTTGTGCAAAGCCACAGAAACTTGCGAACTACCCAGTGTAAGATGAACTTATAATGTCTGATTTCAATAGATGTTTCAAATGCTTAATTCAGTCTCCCCCCCCCCCCTTTATCTTTTTAGGTAAGTTCATGAAGATACCAACAAAAGGTAAGTTTGGTGTTGTTCACAATACCGAGAGATGCTAGTGAAGTTGTCTAATTTTATAAGCTCCTGTCATGTCACAGTTTGCGCACCCCTCAAAAGAACACACCTTTTCTCTCCAGTGAAACACCCCGTTTAGAAGCCGCCTCGAGGCCAAAGTAACAGACGACAACACAAACCCCGAATGTCTCCTTGATGTCAGAGAAGTTATCCAAATGACCGAACACCCACACTTTGAGAGACCTTGCAGAAAGCACAGCCACTGGCTAGAATTTTGTTTCGTGCAGGTCCCTTTCTTTTAAAAAAAGAAGAAGTAGAGGAAGCAATCCTGCTTAATTGGTTAATAGGAATCAGCTTAAAGTTCAAAGTCGGTGTGTTGTTCCTGAAAGCAAGGAGAAAGTTGATCAAATGATAATAACAATAAACCCCAATTCTGCTGCAAGAGAGATGGGATCAGAGCTGCGCCGACGAGTCCACCCTCCTGTGACCCACTTACAGTCAACAAGTGTTAAAGTGGCAAAGAAGTGTAATTCATACTCGGCTGGGCATCCTTGGGTCACGCAAAACAAATGTAACCCATACCTCCAAGGTGGCAAAGACCAGGAGGAGGAAACAAGCGGAAAAACGGCTGGTGAGAGGCAGTAAGATAATCCCCGGACGGGAACCTGATCGCTTCATAACTGACACTGCCTGCCATTTACGTCACAGCTGAATTTGGGACCACGGTCCAGGAGGTAAATCCATAATCCCCCGTCAGAGAGGAATGTGGCAAACGTCACGGTTACAAACGTGGGAGCTTCAGGGCAGCTGAGCTGAGGCTGTTGGCCTCTTAAGTGCATGTTGGGGGGGCTGCATTCTTGCTGGCTTTGCTCACCAACCCCCCCCCCCTTACCACTTCCACCTCTAGTCAACCCCCTCCTATTGGGGCCAGTCAACCCATGAGCAGTGCAGGGTTTACGTATAAGCTAAACAAGCTATAGCTCAGCGCCCCACTCTTTTGGGGGCCCCCAAAAAATTAAAGGGGGGAAAACTGGATGGACATTTCCAAAATATAAGATAGAAAACAAATAAAATAAAACCTACCCACAGCAACACTGTTTTGTGTTGTGCAGGCTCCTGTGTTGTGCGGGCCCCGCCTGCTAGCCTGCTCCCTAAAACGGGACCGCCTCTCCTGGTGTGTCCCACGGAGGACCTTACGGTCTTCAAACAAAAACATCTTGGAGATCCCGGGCCACAGGGAGGTTAGGCTGGCCTCAACCAGAGCCAGGGCTTTTTCGGCTGTGGCTCCAAACTGGTGGAACGCTCTGTCACAAGAGACTAGGGCCCTGTGGGACTTGACATCTTTCCGCAGGGTCTTTAAGACCGAGCTGTTCCACCAGGCCTTTGGCCAAGGCACAGTCTGACCCTCTCCTTTGGTAATCCCCACAGAACGCTAGCCCAATGGTTGCCATTAATTTGATTCTGAATTGATTTTAGAATGAATTGATTTTAGAATGTATTTCAATTAACTGATTGTGATTTTATGTAAACTGTGTTACTTCTACTGTTGTTAGCCGCTCTGAGCCCAGCTTCAGCTGGGGAGGGCGGGATATAAATAAAATTTTATTATTATTATTAACATCACTGGTTTGCTCCTTTCTATATATAGGATACCTACACTCTGCATGGACTTGTTGCATGGCCACATGTGCAAATGACTTTAGATACCTATTAGGTCCATAAATTACCAAATAGCATATATTCAACACAAAAAACAGCGACAATTTGTTGTTGGCAAAGGACAGCTGGACATAGAAAGGGCCCCATTACCTTCAGTAGCTTAAGGCCTCATCAAATCTATATCCGGCCCTGCCAATGAGACGTAGTGAGGCAGTTGCCTCAGGTAGCAGTCTGGGGACAGCTGAAAGGGGTGGCCTCCTTTGCTTGTTGCTCTCCTTCTCTTCCTCCTCCTCTTCCTCCTCTCTGGCCTCTTTCCCCCTCACTGCCTTCAGTGCTCCTCTGGGCTGCCTCCAGTCGCCTCCATTGGTGGTGAGGGAAGTGTGGCAGAAGCAGCGGCAGCAGAGGGGGCATCATTAACTGTTTTCCCTCAAGCAGCAAAATTTCCTGGCCCATCCCTGCCTCCCATCGGACCTCACCTTACAGCTCACCCAAATCACGCCCCCTGCTCCCCTCTGAATATCACCTGTGTCTCATCAATGCAACTGTTTCGGCCTCAGCTGCAGAGGGTGAGGAAAAGGGATGGAGCAGCAGTAGGGCAGGATAGTTGCTGGTGAGCAGGCCTGTCCTGTCCTGGCTGTTTCTCTGCAGCTCACCTGGGCTGCCCTCCCCCTAGACTGCTCACCTAGGCTGCCCACTTGCTTGTTCACTTGCCTGCCTGCTTGGGTCACCCACCTGCTTGCCTGCTCTTCTGGGCCCCCTGTCCTGCCTGCCTTCTGCCCCATCTCCATCTCATTGCCCTGCACTGCTGCTGTTCTTGCTGTGGTTTGCAGCAGCACCTGTTGGCAGCAATGTGAATTGCAGTGTGATGACAACCTTACATTATTATTATATAGTAAGATCTCTACAGTATTTTGTTCTGCAGTTTGTTTGAAAGTCGCACACAGCCAAACTGAATGTCAAAATAGAGGCAGTTACAGTTGACACTCATTCTTTGTTATCACCTATGAGACTGTTGCAAATTTTGGAGGCCCTCATGACTTTTGCTGCAAAAGCGAGAGGTGTGTACGGAAGATCGGTGAGGAAGCCCTGCACCCCCCTAAGCTTGACTGCTGCTACCCAGAGGTGTGGTGCTCCAATCACACACCATGGCACCATCGTTTTAGTCCTGGGAGGCCCGTACGCAGCCTGGCACCACTTCAGCTTTCTCACTCTAGCGGCATTCGCCTGGTGACCTGGTTATAATCCACTTGGCTGCACCTTCACGGTAGGCACAGAACGAGTCCAGAGAATTGAGTCCAGAGGCTCACAGGAAACCTGGTCGGGTCAAGTTTTCAGGTCACTCATACCAATGCCAGCCAAGAATAACCTGACCCCGTTTAACCCCAAAGCTCCCTCTGTCTTAATCGGAGGATAAGCTTCGTCAGAGGCCACCAAGTTACATGATCTGGACAAACAGGCGCTTTTACTTGTTCCCCAACTGCCCCCATTTCCCAGGGACAGACAAACGCATTTCCTGCTCCCTCTCCCTGGAAAGCAGAGCTGCACTTTCCAAGTTGCAAGTAGTCACATTTCCATTTTATGCTGCCCTAGTCAGCTCTTGTGGGTCCAGTTCTGGACAGTGGATTTTGAGAAGGAGGTAGATGAAGGGGAACAGACTCAAGAAGTGAAAACAAATCATAAAAAGAGCCTGCTGGATCAAGCCAACAGTCTATCTAGTCCAGCACCCTCTTATGGCCAGACAGATGCCCTAGTGGGAAACACAGAAGCAGGACTCGAGTTCAAGAGCACTGTCTCACCTCCCTCAGTCTCCAGCAACTGGTTGCTGAGGTGTATCCTGAACTGCTGCTAATATATTGTATCTATATATAGATTGATATTGAATAGAATGTTAACCAGTCCAAAGCCTGGTTGAAGAACCTCCCTGGAGAGAATGTTCCACAAATGGGGAGCCACTGCAGAAAAGGCCCTGTTCTCGTGTTGACACTCTCCGGACCTCCTGCGGAGGACACACACGAAGAAGGGCCTCAGATGGTGATCACAGAGTCAGCATACGGGGAGAGACAGCCCTTGCGGTGTTGTAGTCCTGAGCCATTTAAGGCTTTGAACTGGGCCCAGAAACTGATTGGCAGCCAGTGTGGTTGGGCCAGGATGGATGTAAACCATCTTGCCTCAGTTAGCAACCTGGCTGCCAAATTCTGAACCAGCTGAACCGTCTCCAGAAGCAGCCCCACATGTGTTGCAGTAATCTAACCTAGAGGTTAGCAGGACATAGACAACAGAAGTAAAACTATTTATCTCTGTCCAGAGAGGGGTGCAGCTGGGCCACCAGCCCAAGCTGATGGAAGGCACCTCTGAGGCCACCTGTGCCTCAGGCGGCAGCATAGACGTACCCCAAGCTACGTAACCACTCCTTCAGAGGTAATCGCCTGAGCTCTGCTAGTGCGGCTTTCTCCTGTTTGAAGCGCAGAATGTTTGAGGACCAGGACGTTTGCAGGGGAAGCAAAATGCTTGTTTACAAAGCTATTGTACTACCAACCTTACTGTCTGCTTGTGAAACATGGACCACTTATAAACGCCATCTCCAACTCCTTGGAAGATTCCATCAACGGTGTCTCCAAAAAATTTTACACATCACTTGGCGAACTAATATCAGTGTACTGGAAGAAGCAAAGATCACCAGTGTTGAAGCAATGATTGTTCAACATCAACTTCATTGGACTGGCCTGCTGTGCGGATGCCCAATGATCGTCTTCCAAAGCAGCTACTCTATTCTGAACTTAAAAATGGAAAGCGTAATGCTGGTGATCAACAAAAGAGGTTTAAAGACTGTCTCAAGGAAAATCTTTAAAAATGTTGTATAAACACCAACAATTGGGAAACATGTGCCTGTGAGCACTCCAGTTGGAGAACAGCCTTTACCAAAAATGTCCTGGGCTTTGAAGACACTCGAACTCAGGACACAAGGGAGAAATGTGCTAAGAGGAAGGCACGCTTGGCAAATCCACACCGTGATCAACTCCCGCCCGGAAACCAATGTCCCCACTGTGGAAGGATCCAGAATAGGCCTCCACAGTCACTTACGGACTCATTGTTAAAACCGTGTTTATGGAAGACAATCTTACTCGGCTACGAGGGACCCCTGAGAAGACCCCTCTCAGGAGCAGGCAACTTCCCGTCCATCTGATTTAGGGAACTGCCCACTACAGTGTCTCAGTATTATCTGGACTGAGCTACAGTTTGTTGGCTCCCATCCAGTCCATTGCTAGGCAAGACAACTGAAGAAGAAGAGAAGAAGAGTTTGGATTTGATATCCCACTTTATCACTACCCTAAAGGTAAAGGTAAAGGTACCCCTGACTGTTAAGTCCAGTTGCAGACGACTCTGGGGTTGTGGTGCTCATCTCACTTTACTGGCCAAGGGAGCCGGCGTTTATCCACAGACAGCTTCCGGGTCATGTGGCCAGCATGACTAAGCCACTTCTGGTGAACCAGAGCAGCGCGCAGAAACACCGTTTACCTTCTGGCAGGAGCGGTACCTATTTATCTACTTGCACTTTGAAGTGCTTTTGAACTGCTAGGTGGGCAGGAACAGGGACCAAACAATGGGAGCTCACCCCGTTGCTTGGATTTGAACTGCCGACCTTCTGATCAGCAAGCCCAAGAAGCTCAGTGGTTTGGACCACAGCGCCACCTGCATCACTACCCTAAGGAGTCTCAAAGCGGCTCACAATCTCCTTTCCCTTCTTCCCCCACAAGAAACACTCTGTGAGGTGAGTGAGGCTGAGAGACTTCAGAGAAGTATGACTAGCCCAAGGGCACCCAGCAGCTGCATGTGGAGGAGCGGGGAAGCGAACCCGGTTCACCAGATTACGAATCTGCCGCTGTTAACCACTAAACCACACTGGCTCTGTGTGTGTGAGAGAGAGGGGGGGGGGGGAGAGAGAGGCAAATCTCTGATTGCAAACTACTTCACTGGCTCCCCCATAATACATACATGTATTTCCTCCCCCAGTAATCACTTGAATACAGAGTCTTTTCCAGGCCGGGAAGTGCAGCGTAAAATGGGAATGTGACTACTTGCAACTCGGAAACCGCACTTCAAAGCTGGGAGGAACCAGCTAAATATTTCTTCCACTCCTGAAAGGGGATTACCCAGAAACCAGGGCAGCTGCCAAGGTTCATATTTCAGCACCTGTTCAGCTGCCCTCTTCAAGCAACAGAGGAGCGGCAAGGATGGTTGCCAAACCTTTGGGCCTGACCCGAAGTCTCCAAGTTTGCCTGACCCCTTACAGGGAGGGCTCGAATCTCTGGGTGGGCAAGAGTGCCTTCCATCACCATCAAATAATTAAGAAGACTGTGCATGCAGCTTGCAAACTCCAGTCCAGCAGGATCTGGCTTCAAATTATAGCATAGGTGCTCAGGGTGGGGGTACCTGCCCTGCTCCCAATTAACTTCCGTCTCCAGGACGCATCCCTGTGAGATCAGGGTCTGCCCCTAGGTCTCAGGTTTGGGCCCTGAAGTCTCAGAGTCTGGGATGATCATGACCTGGCAGCTCTGATTGCAAGAGGCTGGAGAAAGAGCGGCGACGCTTTCCCACTCCTGCTGGGAGCAAACTTGTCATGGGCCAAGAGTCAACCTGGCCTGAAGAGGAAGACAGAGTGACTCCACCTGCGGCTCACCAGCCTTCAGTGACAGGGAGGAAATGGGAACCCACTGGCTTCAGTCTTCTGAAACAGAGCTCTCAGCAGCAGTCAGATGCTGGAAACAACATCTATGGTTCCCGGTCCCACCTTGCTGTTTCCTGTTCTCCATTTGGACCTTTGGCTTTGTGATCATCGGATTCCCTGGCCACCTGACTACGTAGATTGCTGTTTGCCTGACCCTCAGAACGGACCTGACTTCGGATACGGACTCTGCCAAGCCTGTCTCAGAGACTCTTATCTTCTGCTTGTTTGGCCTCACACTCCACCGAGCTCTGAACACTGTTGCTCAACAATGGGACTCCGACCAAACTGGGCAACTGACCAGGAAGGAGCAGGCAAATGGGCACTGCTGACCATGGCAAAGATGGAGGATGGGGGCCACCTTGCCTCAGTTCTGGAGCAGGCACTAGGACGACCAGCGGCTGAGGACTAGGGCAGGGTGGTTAGCTTGCAGTTGCCTCATAATGATATTTTTTAAAAAAATGATTCCTTCATTGTAGAGGGTTGGACTAGATGGCCCTTGGGGTCCCTTCCAACTCATACACACACACACACACACACACATATTCACACACATTCTCTCTCTCTCTCTCTCTCTCTCACACACACACACACACACACACATTCTCTCTCTCTCTCTCTCTCTCTCTCTCTCACACACACACACATTCTCTCTCTCTCTCTCTCTCTCTCTCTCTCACACACACACACACACACATTCTCTCTCTCTCTCTCACACACACACACACACACACATTCTCTCTCTCTCTCTCTCTCTCTCTCTCTCTCTCACACACACACACACACACACACACACACACTCTCTCTCTCTCTCTCTCTCTCTCTCTCACACACACACACACACACACCTCTCTCTCTCTCTCTCTCTCTCTCTCTCTCTCTCTCTCTCTCACACACACACACACACACACACATTCTCTCTCTCTCTCTCTCTCTCTCACTCTCTCTCAAACACACACACAATTTTTATTTGTTTTCCATTTAATATTATACATTCACATCATCATTCTTCACTTTACTGCCCTGACTCTTTAGAGCCTATCGACTTCCTTCCCTCCCGCCTCATGGCTTTTGAAATTAACCTTTATATCATTGCAAGTTATACGTTTTCCAATTCTAATTACACTCATTACAAAATGGCTCAAGATTTAAATAAATATAGAAAGATAGAAAAATTCTCATTACAAGTCTGCAGACAACCCTGCTAGCGATGTTAATTGCTTACAATAACCTTTCAAATATCGCACAAACTCTTAACTATTCTATAAGTTCATGCAAAGTTACTTGCTGCAAGTCGTATGATGAAACAACTTCCAAGGGGTGTGTGGAAGACACCCCACCCCACAGGGAACCACCAGGGGGCTGCCTGGATAATCAATCACATTTCTGGCTATTGAATCACAGTCCGCCAGCTGCAAAGCACCGTAGAGAAAATGCAATTTAGCTCCATGAGGTTCTCCCTGGAAGCAGCCTGTGCTCAGAAGAGGGAGATTTGGGGGTTGAGCTGAACAAGTGGAAATGAAGAATCCTGGATCTTTTGTGGGGCGGGTGCAAGATTTCTGAGATCTGGGCTTCTGGGATCTAGTTTGTTTTTCACCAGAAGTCTTGACATCCAGCAACCGGAGCGCCAAACTTAAAATTATGTAATTCTGAGCCCAGGAATTTGTTGCAATGAATACCAGGACCAAACAGAGCTCAGAGTCCTTTCACATGTAAGCTCACACCTGGTGAAGCCCTGCCCTGCAGGTTTCTTCATTTCAGCCATATACTTGCAAGGGAGGGTGGGTATGTCATTGTTTGAAAACTGAGTCAGAAATCTGCGTGGGTCTATCTCGGGTGCCTCAAATCACTTTCTGTTCAACTGCGGCGCAGGAGTCCAGGAAGTGCAACAACTTCCTGCTCCATGAAAGCTACACTTACTTAATCGAAATTCTCTTTTCTCCTACGTGAGACCAAAACCTGCTGGATCAGCCCAAAGGACCCTTCTGTTTCCCAAGGCAGGGTGGGATCAGCAGGGCATCTCTTCTCTTCAGGGGTGGAGAGGGCAGTTTGCCGAGTGGGGCTTGTGGCCACCCTCCCAGCTTCTGTACACAGTTTCTAAGCCACACGAGACATCTCTGCTAGCCACAGAGATTGTGCCAGATCTGCACACCCAAATCCCCAGCAGAACAACCTGACAGACATGCCTCACTGTGCCCCTGAAGGACCAGGTGTGCAGCCTGGGAGTCATTTTGGACTCACTGCTGTCCATGGAGGCGCAGGTCAATTCTGTGTCCAGGGCAGTTGTCTACCAGCTCCATCTGGTACGCAGGCTGAGACCCTCCCTGCCCGCGGACTGTCTCACCAGAGTGGTGCATGCTCTAGTTATCTCTCGCTTGGACTACTGCAATGCGCTCTACGTGGGGCTACCTTTGAAGGTGACCCGGAAACTACAACTAATCCAGAATGCGGCAGCTAGACTGGTGACTGGGAGTGGCCGCCGGAACCATATAACACTGGTCCTGAGAGATCTGCATTGGCTCCCAATACGTTTCCGAGCACAATTCAAAGTGTTGGTGCTGACCTTGAAAGCCCTAAACGGCCTCGGTCCAGTATACCTGAAGGAGTGTCTCCACCCCCATCGTTCTGCCCAGACACTGAGGTCCAGCTCCGAGGGCCTTCTGGTGGTTCCCTCCCTGCGAGAAGTGAGGATACAGGGAACCTGGCAGAGGGCCTTCTCGGTAGTGGTGCCTGCCCTGTGGAACGCCCTCCCAGCAGATGTCAAGGCAATAAGCAACTATTTTACTTTTAAAAGACCGCTGAAGGCGACCCTGTTTAGGGAAGTTTTTAATGTCTGATGCTGTATTGTTTTTAATGTTCAGTTGGAAGCCACCCAGAGTGGCTGGGGAAACCCAGCCAGATGGGCGGGGTATAAATATTATTATTATTATTATTATTATTATTATTATTATAGCATTCAGCCTCACCAGTCACACGAATGATGGCTACTATGAGCCCAAGTGTCTCCCCCAACGAACATGCAAACAGCACCTGCAGGATCCGGCCAACGGCCCATCTACTGCAACATCACTGGAGGTTTCTATGGAGAGGTTGGATGGTCTTGGATGCTTTAGTTGAGATTCCTGCACGGCGGTGGGTGGACTAGATGACTCGCGGGATCCCTTCCAACTCTACGATTTTATGAACCTGTGGCCAATCAGATGGCCCAGTGAGAAACCCACAAGCTGGAGCTGAGATCAACAGCCCTCTCCCCACGTGTGGTTTCCCCCAGCTGGTATTTGAAAACATTGCTGCTTCCAGGGCATAGCCATAGCTAGCAGTCATTGATAGCTTTACCCTCCTCCATGTCTAACTCTCTTTTAAATCCATCCTAGTTCATCACTGCTTCCTGCAGCAAGGAGTTCCAAAGTTTAACACTGTGCTGCATGAAAAGGAGCTTTCTTTTTATCTGTCCTTCCAACTTTCGGCTTCATTGAATGCCTACGAGTTCCAGTGTTATATGGGGTGGGGGGCTTTTCTCTATCCATTTTCTCCATGCTAGGCAAAAAATTTTTTTTAATAAACTTTCATTGTGCCACATCTGACTCACCTCTACAGATGTACATGGAGGATGAAGCAGGCTTTTTCTCTGTCGCTCCAGAGGACAGGCCTAGAGCCGAGAGGCAGAGATCGATGGGAAGCAGATTTTAGCTAAACACCGGGGGGGGTGGCACTTGCGAATGGCAAGTACTGTTTAGGGAAGCCCTGTTTAGGGAAGTTTTTAATGTTTCATGTTTTATCACTTTATTATTATTATTATTATTATTATTATTATTATTACAGTGGTACCTTGGGTTACAGATGCTTCAGGTTACAGACTCCGCTAACCCAGAAATAGTACCTCCGATTAAGAACTTTGCTTCAGAATGAGAATAAAAATCGTGCGGCGGCAGCAGGAGGCCCCATTAGCTAAAGTGGTACCTCAGGTTAAGAACAGTTTCAGGTTAACAACGGACCTCCAGAATGAATTAAGTTTTTAACCTGAGGTACCACTGTATTAATATTAATATTCTGTTCGGAGCCGCCCAGAATGGCTGGGGAAACCCAGCCAGATGGGCGGGGTATAAATATATTATTATTATTATTATTATTACTGTTTGATGGTGGAAAGGCCTTGCCTTGGGAGGCGATCAGCTCTCCTTTGCTGGCAGCTTTTAAGGAGATGTTGGATGCCGTGCCTAGCAACACTCCCCGTTACAGAACTATTAAAAGTTGCAGAAGTGCTGCAACCCCCAAACACACGCACTTAGCCAGAGCCAGAGCTGCGGGGGCGGGGGAGGCTAGCTGGGTTTTTTGCCCCAGTGAAGCCTCTAGAGTGGCACTGCTGAGGCTCCCAGCCTGTGTGTGTATGTATGCGAATACAGGTGGAGGGTATGTCAAACTGGGTCTTTGACCCGGTTGAAATAAAGCCTAGTTTCACCCCTGACTTAGCATCATCTAGCCCCCCTACCAGGCAGCTCTATCCAAGCCCTTCTCTCAGCACACCTGTGTCATCAAGGACATATGCTAGCCTACCTTGCAAGGCTGTTCTGCAGAAAACAACTCCATCAATATAACCCGACGTTCCTCTAATGCTCTCTAAGACAGCCATCCTAAGAGCATCTACCAGGAAGTCCTGCTGGGTTTATGTATGTTTGATGTGCTATCATTGTAAACCGCTGTGGTTGTTTTAGGGTTTAAAAATAAATAAATAGCGGTATATAAATGTTTTATTATATAATAATACGTATTATATAATAATACGTATTAAATTGAGGAGAGGGTGACTTACTTCTGAGCAAAGATTCTTGGGATTGCAAGAAAGAGAGACCTCACCGAGAAGTCAAAGCTAAGACCGCATTTCTCCCTTACAGGGGAGCCAGCGCCTTGCACCTAGCAGGGCTTACTCCCGAGGAGACGTTTACCTGGCGTATCTGGTCTTCTGGAAATCCAGGAGGCTGGACACGAACATCTTTTTAATTCCATCAGAATCCAGCTTGGGCGATGTTGGAAGAAGAGGAGGAGGAGGAGGATGGCGGCCCAGGGCAGGAGTGATGGAGGAGGCGATAGGGAGAGACCCCCGTCCTCGGATCCTCGGTGTCCCGCGAGGGGGTCCCGGGTGGTCCCAGCCACGAAGAGGCAGCCTCCCTCCGGAGCAGGCAGCCCAAGGAACTTCATCCGCTCCTCTGCCTGAGCTGGTCGGGAGCAAAAAATGAATGCCCCCCACAAATGAAATCTCACTTCTTCGCGTCTCCCAAAGCCAGGCAGGCGATCTTGGTTTTCAGAGGGGGTTTAATTTTTTATCATTAAAAAAAGAGGAGGAAGGGGGGCAGAAATCCTGGCCATTCTGGGTCCCTCTCTCCTGCAGCCCTGTTGCGCAGGGGGGAGAAGCAGCCGGCACCCCGTCTGGAGAGGCTCAGGAGCTAAAGAGCGCATCCAACAGGCAGAGTTGGAGCGAGGAGGAGGCGAGCGAAGGAGCCGCGCGCTGAGTCGTGATCGCGAAATAACAAGATGATTAGCGCTCTGGAGGAGGGAAGAGAGGGAGGAGGAGGAGGAGGAGAGAGGGAGGAAGGATAGATGGATGGATGGAGGGGAGATGGAGGGGAGGGAGGGAAGGAGGGAAGGAAGGAGGGACCCCCGGGGCTCCAAGTGGCCGGAGCAACCGGTCCCCAAGCCGCCTGTTGGATCCCAATCGGCATGAGCAAGGGAGCTATAAATAAAGGCAGCCCCGGTGATATAGTGCGCGCCCGCGGATCAAATAGCAGCGGATTTGGATTAATAAGGGCAGAGCCGAACTGCGCGCGCTGGCAGCTCGTCCGACTGTACAGCTGAAAGCGCAGGGCTTTGCCCCGCCTTGCCAAGAATCCTGGGAACCATGGTTTCTTAAGGGTGTTGGAAGTTCTAGTTTGGGGGGAGGGGGTCCTTACTCCCAATATCCTTAACAAGAAACAGTTCCCAGGATTCTCTGGGGGATCCTCCCCCCAGAACTACAACTCCCAGCATCTCCAACAAACTGCACTACCCAGGATTCTCTCCAGAGAAGCTGTGTTGCTGTTGTGTAGTCGTTTAGTCGTGTCTGACTCTTCGTGACCCCCTGGACCAGAGCACGCCAGACACTCCTGTCTTCCACTGCCTCCCGCAGTTTGGTCAAACTCATGCTGGTAGCTTCGAGAACACTGTCCCACCATCTCATCCTCTTTCGTCCCCTTCTCCTTGGGCCCTCCATCAGTGGCGTAGCGTGGGTTGTCAGCACCCGGGGCAAGGCAAGTAATTTGCGCCCCCTAACCTGTGGATTTGCGCCCCCTAACCCTAACCCCCAGATGTTGCGCCCGGTGCGGCCGGCCCCCCCTGCACCCCCCACGCTACGCCACTGCCCTCCATCTTTCCCACCATCAGGGTCTTTTCCAGGGAGTCTTCTCTTCTCATGAGGTGGCCAAAGTATTGGAGCCTCAGCTTCAGGATCTGTCCTTCCAGTGAGCACTCAGGGCTGATTTCCTTCAGAATGGATACGTTTGATCTTCTTGCAGTCCATGGGACTCTCAAGAGTCTCCTCCAGCACCATAATTCAAAAGCATCAATTCTTTGGCGATCAGCCTTCTTGATGGTCCAGCTCTCACTTCCATACATCACTACTGGGAAAACCATAGCTTGAACTATACAGGCCTTTGGCAAGGTGATGTCTCTGCTTTGGTGTGCCTTAAATGTAGAGTGAGTGTCTGCTTTTAAAGCACACGGTCCCCCCCCCCCCCAAAAAAAATAATAATCTTGGAAACTGTGGCTTGTTGGGGATGTTGGGAGTTGTAGTTCTGTGGAAGCAACCTACAGTCCCTAACTCACTGGGGGTTTGAGACGCATCAGCTGCCCTCACCTGTCAAAACCAACCCAAATTGTTTATCTGGGTGTGGCAGCTGTCACATGCTGACAGCTTCTAGGAGCCACAGGTGAGAGCTGAGCGCAGGGTGGGGACCAAAGGCGGACAGACTACCCCAGGAGGAGCATGATGTGTCCCCCACCAGAGGTGGCACCCCTCTTTCTGAACGCCAGTGGCCGGAAGCCACAGCAGGCGAGAGTTGCTCTCGTGCTCGAATTTTGCATGCTGGTTTCCCACAAGCAACTGTTCATATATATATATTAATATATATATATATTAACAATTTAAATGTAACAAATTATCAAAGCAAATCATCTTCATTATTTCCCCCCATTATTCCCCCCCTTCCACCTCCTCCACAAACCCTCCCTCCCTCCCCCCTCTAAGACTTCCTTCAGCTCCTCTCTCTGATTTCTCAACCTATATTAATTTCTGCATATTGTAAAATTGTACACATCCTTATATTATCTGTCTACTATGTTAACCCTCAATAAATTTGTGTATGTTTATTCAAAACCTGCCAAGGAGTCCAGTTCATTTTGTTGTCTTTTAAAATAATTTGTAAAAGGCTCCCGGTCTTCTTTCAAGTCACAGTTGTCCTTGTCTTGCAATTTGCATGTCAGTTTAGCCAGTTCTGCATAGTTCTTCAATTTCTCTTGCCACTGTTCTTTCGTCGGGGTTTCCTCATTCTTCCATCCTTGTGCAATCAAGACTCTTGCCACTGCCCACAAGCAACTGTTCAGCCACTGTGAGAACAGGATGCTGGACAGTGGAATTTGCTGCCAAGGAGTGTGGTGGAGTCTCCTTCTTTGGAGGTCTTTAAGCAGAGGCTTGACAACCATATGTCAGGAGTGCTCTGATGGTGTTTCCTGCTTGGCAGGGGGTTGGACTCGATGGCCCTTGTGGTCTCTTCCAACTCTATGATTCTATGATTCTATGACTAGATGGGCCATGGGCCTGATCCGGCAGGACCTTCTTGTGTTCTTACGGAGTGGATCATTTTGGCCTAATGATCTGGGCTGTCCAACGGGGGACCACAGACTGCTTTGGGAGGCGGCAATGGAGATATGGAAGTAGAAGCTGGATAGTTGTCTCTCGGGGGTGGAGGAGTTGCAAGGCCTCTTTGCAACTCTCTGAAATTCTGGCTGTTCTGGATTTGGCATGGCTTTCACTGATGTGGACAATGCATCAGAAAGCCTTAAAAGGCTTGTGCAGCATGCACTGATTGTTTATTTACCATCGTCAAACGTGCATCTTTTAAATGTTATTAGTATTAGAGCGGCTGGGGCAACCCAGCCAGGTTGGTGGGGTATAAATAATAAAATTATTACTGCTATTACTACTACTACTAGTAGTAGTAGTAGTAGTAGTACATTTACCCTATTTTTTGCTGTATAAGACGCACCAGACCATAAGACGCACCTAGTTTTTGGAGGAGGAAAACAAGGAAAAAAATATTCTGAATCCCAGAAGCCAGAACAGCAAGAGGGATCGCTGCGCAGTGCTCCCTCTTGCTGTTCTGGCTTCTGGGATAGCTGCACAGCCTGCATTCGCTCCATAAGACGCACACACATTTCCCTTCACTTTTAAGGAGGGGAAAAGTGCATCTTATAGAGCGAAAAATACGGTATATCCTGCCTTTCCTCCAAGGGAACATGGGGCCTAGTGTATGGTTACCAGGCGTTCCCGTTTCCCGGGGACAGTCCCCAGATTCACAAATCTGTCCCCGGACAAAATCCGTCCCCAGAATGTCCCCAGATTTCATTTAATGTCCCCGGATTTATATTTTAAGTGTTGTAGATTTATCAGTAGGGAATGAAAGTTGCGTGATTGCTTCAACGGCACAAGACACATCATATGGGGACTTCCGGTGAGGCAGAATGGGGGGTGCCACTGCCGGAGGGGGGGAACTGGGGACGCCCGGCACATCAACTGGGGGAACCGCTGACACACACACCCCACAACCCAAATCGAGCCGGGAGCGAGAGAACCCAGCCAACTGGCCGACTGCCCAGCGGTGCTCCAGAGCCACGAAAACCCCGGAGCCAACGCAGGGAGGAGGAGGAGAGGAGAAGGAAGAGAGAGAAAGAGGAAGGGGAAAAAAGAGGGGAGCCCCGACCTTGCTGCTCCGCTGCCACTGAGGAGAGGTAGGAGAGCACCCGGAGGGCAAGGACACGTGGCCGAGCCCAGGCCCGACCTGAACCTACTCCACAGTGACTAGCGCTCCAAGAGAGCAGGCCAGGGCCCAGAGGAAGGCCGTGTGACAGAGGAGATGACAGAAGAGAAGATGTTACCTCTTTTTAAAAATTTAAATAACTTTTAAAAAATATATCTTTTTTTTTTAAAAAAAAAGTGTCCCTGGATTCTTTGAAAAAAATCTGGTAACCTTGGCCTAGTGAGGGAATTTGGACCCAGTTTTCCTGCCTACTTCCAAAAAAACACCCCTCTGGCCTGAGCACCAGAGTGCAGAATGTTCATAGTTCTGCACTGAAGCCACATTTCCTCTATCCTGTCTTTCCCCGCCAGCTTATATTCTACCCTTACACAGCGGTGGATGCACTCCAATTGAATCCACTGGAGGTTTTGCACTCCAGCTTGCTCTCTCCTTTTGCTCCAGTACCCTTCCAAGGGGGGGCTGTGAAGCGAAACATTCAGGGTATGAAGCTCAGAAAGCTTCCTCCCTCCCCTCTCCCCCCTTTTTTTTGGATCCATCACTTCTGGGAGCAATACGGCCTGGCTCTCTCAGCCTCCTTCCAGGCTGCTCAACAGTGCGTGAGCCATCCCGGGGGAAAACAGCACAATACAGAATGGCTGAGAACATAGTGGTGAGAGGAGAGGAGGAGAAAGCCGCTTCCATTCATTCAGCAAAACAAAAAAGCAACAAAAACAGGTCAGCTTTCTCTTGGCACATTCGGCAGCAACCACTTTCCCAGGCAAGGGCTTCTGCTCTCACAGGAAAACAGGGTTGCAGATCACAGAGGCTCCAATATTTGCTCTTGAGCGCAGACAGTCCCTCGTTTTTGATCCCTTGCAAATCATCCCGTGGACTGTGTCCCTACATTTTTCTCTCCCCCCCCCCAATTTTGTATTCTTTTTATAACACAAATAAAAAACACAAACAGAAAAGACAAACAATACGAACAAATTCTTGTCATATCCTTATTTTTCTAAACATTGTTAAGCGGGCTTCCCCAAGCCCACCTATCTGATTTTTATTATACTTCATCTTTAGCAGTTTACATATATCATAATTTCTAACCATTTTTTAATCATGCTTACTTTTACCATAAAAATCTTCACATTTTATCACTTACAAATAATACTATTTTAAAATACACTGTCTTCTACTTCTAACCCTACAGCCTATATCCACTTCCAAAGCTATTCTAAGATTTAAATATTAACATATTTTTTCAAATATTCCTTAAACTTCTTCCAGTCTTCTTCCACCATCTCTTCTCTCTGGTCTCGGAGTCTCCCATTCTCTGAAAATCTTTAAGTGAAGCGAGGTACCAAACTTTGTACGATGAAAGACAAGCTGTGAAGCTTTGTGTATTCAGCAAATACGATGTCCAACACTGAACAGTGATTCCGGATATTGTCTACCGTTTTGTATAATTCTTCATCAGCATGGTGGGAGGATATAGAATTGCTTCATAAACTCATCTTATATTGAATGAATGTATGTAAATGAAAATATTAAATGCTGTGGAACAGTGCTCTGGTACCTCGCTTCATTTAAAGATTTTCAGAGACTTTGAGACTAAAGATTTCATTTTGTACTTGTTATGGTTTGAAGGAATTCTATAAAGATTGTCTATTGCATATGTACATGGTCAACCTTGGAGAGGTGCTTCTTGTCAGTACAGTGGTACCTCAGGTTACATATGCTTCAGGTTACATACGCTTCAGGTTACAGACTCCGCTAACCCAGAAATAGTGCTTCAGGTTAAGAACTTTGCTTCAGGATAAGAACAGAAATCGGGCTCTGGCGGCGCGGTGGCAGCAGGAGGCCCCATTAGCTAAAGTGGTGCTTCAGGTTAAGAACAGTTTCAGGTTAAGTACGGACCTCTGGAACGAATTAAGTACTTAACCCGAGGTACCACTGTATAATCAATATAGAGTTCAAAGGAGCAACAGCCCAAGACTCAGTGCAAGGCAGCCAGCAGTTTTCTGATAAGACGCCCTGAGCAGAAACAGCAGTTTTCTTAATGCTGTGCTGGTTATTATTTAAAAAATACCCTGCTCCTTTGGCTACTCTTCTCCCAACATGACCTCCTTCCTCCCTGCCGAGTTCCTTAATGACACTAAATCTTATGTTGGTTTTTGCGGTGCAGTTCTGCGCTGAGTGTTAAGCACACTGTTAAGACTTCCAAATTAATTTCACTCTTGGCGTCGGCAGGATTTAAGCCCCGGATTCCCCTGGCCTGCTAGCATGACTTGACTTGCTCCTTCGAGCAGGAATTTCCAGTGCCAAATGCCTCTCCGTTTTGATCAACACCACAGCAGAAATCTTGGCTGCAGCTCAGTGTAGCTGTGGCAGGTGGGGTGAGGACTCTTCGGGTTCCTGTTCCCTGAGATACCTTAAATCCTTGGTTTCCGGATGTGTCTTTAGGAATCAGTATTATTCAGCTGCTGCAGCAACCCGGGGCGGCAGGGCAGGTGGGTAACTCCTTTATGAGCTTCAGAGCAAGCAGAAAATAATCTCTCCTGGGTGCTCCTGCTATGGCAACCCCAGCCCTTAGAATTAAACCATGGAACTCGCTGCCACAGGAGGCAGCGATGGCCACCGACTTGGATGGCTTGAAAAGAGGATTGGACAAATTCACAGAGTGCAATAATAATAATAATAATAATAATAATAATAATAATAATTTATTATTTATACCTCGCCCATCTGGCTATTGATGGCTCCTAGCCACAATGGCTATGCTCTGTCTCCATGATCAGAGTCAGCAATGCTTCTGAATGCCAGTGTGGTGTAGTGGTTCAGAGCGGTGGACTCGTAATCTGGGGAACCGGGTTCGATTCCCCGCTCCTCCACCTGCAGCTGCTGGGTGACCTTGGGCTTGTCGCACTTCTCTGAAGTCTCCCAGCCTCACTCACCTCACAGAGTGTTTGTTGTGGGGGAGGAAGGGAAAGGAGATTGTTAGCCGCTTTGAGACTCGTTAGGGTAGTGATAAAGCAGGATATCAAATCCAAACTCTTCTTCTTCTGCCAGTTGCTGGAAATTGCAGGAGGGGAGAGGGCTCTCATGCTTGCAGGTTTCCCACTGGGGCACATTAGTGGGCCACTGTGAGAACAGGATGCTGGACCAGATGGGCCACTGGCTTGATCCAGCAGGTTCTTCTTTTGTATTTACGATGGAATAAATAAAAGTGCTTCTGGCCTGGACAAACATGTGCGGTGGGACACTGTGCCCAGTTCTGTGGGTACTTGAGGTTCACAGGGAAAGCAGGGAAAGTCTAGTGAAAGCTGTGATTAGTTGTAATTCCTGCATTGCAGGGGGTTGGACTTTGGGCTAAATGACCCTTTGGGTCCCTTGCAACGCTACAGTTCTTTGACACTGTAAGTCAGGGAGAAGATCAGCACCTGGGACAGCGACAAGCGTCTGCAGAAAGCTGAAGGATTCTCCTTCTAAGAAGGCTGTAGAGAGATGTTGTCTCAGCAGAGTGTCAGGTGTAAGTGCGGGAGCCAGGCCCTGTGACCAGTAGGACTTTGCAGGACTGGGGCCTTCCTAAGTTTGTTCTGAAGAGGCAAGGCGTGGCCACACAGGTGAGGCCGATTGGTAATTCACAGAACCAGGTGGCAAGAGCCAGGAAGGGATATAAGGTCAGCCTTTTCCCTTCGGCTCTTTGCCACAGCAACACGTTCCCTGCCTTGCTGCGTTTGACTCCTTGCTTCTTGATCCTTGGACCCCTGACTTTGTGACTCCTTGCTTCTTGATCCTCAGACCCCTGACTTTGTGACTCCTTGCTTCTTGATCCTCGGACCCCTGACTTCGTGACTCCTTGCTTCTTGATCCTCGGACCCCTGACTTCGTGACTCCTTGCTTCTTGATCCTCGGACTCCTGACTTCGTGACTCCTTGCTTCTTGATCCTTGGACCCCTGACTTTGTGACTCCTTGCTTCTTGATCCTCGGACCCCTGACTTCGTGACTCCTTGCTTCTTGATCCTCGGACCCCTGACTTCGTGACTCCTTGCTTCTTGATCCTTGGACCCCTGACTTCGTGACTCCTTGCTTCTTGATCCTCGGACCCCTGACTTCGTGACTCCTTGCTTCTTGATCCTCAGACTCCTGACTTCGTGACTCTTTGCTTCTTGATCCTCGGACCCTTGGCTTCTTGACTCCCGGCTCTCTGACCCTCGGACTCTTGGCTTTCTGACTCCTGGCTTCTGGACTCCCGTTCCTGCTCCCACCCCGCCATCTTGCCCCTGGTCCCGATATCTCCAGCCAGGACTTTGATCGCCCATGAACTGGACCATGACATAGAGGCAGCCAAAGCATAATATAGCAGACAAGACCTGGAGCCTGGTAGTTACCACCTCCCTGGAGAAGCTGGTTGGCTGGTTAAAGGGCCCTCACCTTATTTTGCAGACATTCACAGTACTGAGGGGACAGAGGTGCTGCCATTGGTACTGCCACCTTAGTCAGTGGATGGTGGCAGGGCTGTGTCCTCCAGCTGAGAGGATCCTTAGAAAGATGCTGATTATTCCCCACCCAAGGAAGCAGCCTGGACCTTCTCCTCTTTCAGAGTCCCTCACCATGCAGATCATGAGCCATGACAATCCGTTTCTCAGCTAAGGAAATCATAGCGGACTATGAGTTGAAATCAGTTTCCTCCTAACCCTGAACTGTGCCAGCTGAGTCTCCCCTTCTCGATCAAATCTTCCAGCTGATAAGTCAGATCACCAAACAATCTGTCTCACCAGATCCTGGAATGGCTTTACTTTCCTACATTTTGCCAGGAGCTCCAGTGTTGTCTAACAAAACTTTTTATAGCCCAGTACTGGAGAATTCTCAATATGGATCTTTTTGAAGCATGGACATCACAGATATGGAACATTTTTTTTTTATGGACAAGCTAACAGCACCCCAAAGAGACCATCATACTAGAAGAAGCCCTCTCTCCCACACCTGCCCCCCCATTTTCCTAATGACAAGTGTTTTGCTAATTAATAAGAATGGAGAACAACAGCTCTGCAACCACCCCATTTAGAGGTGGTGCTGATTAGGCTGTTCTGATTATTGTGTTCTTAATCACTTTTGCTGAGGTATGTGGCACTAATCTGCCTAGGAACCAGAAATAAGGCTGTGAGCCTGTAGTGCTAAACCCAGAAATACCTCCTGCATCCTGCTAAAACCGCTCCTGGGTAGCTGAGCAACACCCCATTTGGGTAGCTGAACAACACCTTTGGTCCTTGCATAGCCTGCAGATTAAAAAAAATGATTATCAAAAAGATTGTTTGTATATGATAGCGTATGTATGTCTGTACATATAATAGTTCTCTATATATATCTATATATCTATATACCTCCACAGTTGGGCTACAGGACAGAACAGTTGCTTGTGCATGGTTGTGTGTGTGGATGTGTATACATTTATAGGGCTAAGGCTGGGCTACAGGAAAAGCCATAGCAAGGAGAATAGGAACAGGATCTGGCTAGCCAAGGGAGCTGGAATGGGAGCAAGCAGGGGGAAAGCCAGCAAGGCAAAAGTGGACCTGCCTCAGAAGCTGCAAACTCAGGGACTGAGTCAGATCAGAAGCTGAGAAGTCCAAGGTAGAACTGGATCAGAAGTTAGGGGCATCACAGAATTGTAGAGCTGGAAGGAACAACAAGGGTCTTCTAGTCCAATCGCCTGCTGTGCAGGAATCGCAACTGGCCACCCCTGGCAGGTGGCCATCCAACCTCTGCTTTATTTATTTATAATTTTTTTATTAACAATTTCAACATAACAACATATCAAAACATCTCATATTCATCATTTCCCCCACCTCCCCAGCAAACCCTCCCTCCCTCCCTCCCTCCCCCCCAGACTTCCCTCAGCTCCTCTCTCTGATTTCTCAACTCATATTGTTCTCTGCATACTATAAAATTGTATGAATCCTTTTTTTATCTATCTACTACATTAACAATCAATAGATTTGTGTATGTTTATTCATAACCTGCCAAGGAGTCAAATTCATTTTGTTGTCTTTTTAAGTAATATGTAAAAAGTTCCTGTTCTTATTTAACGTCACAGTTGTCCTTATCTCTCAGTTTGTATGTCAATTTAGCCATTTCTGCATAGTTCATCCATTTCTCTTGCCATTGTAAGAAATTGTCGGGATTTCCTCATTCTTCAATCCTTGTGCTATCAAGACTCTTGCCGCTGTTGTTGCATACAGAAATAAATTTTCCTTGGCAGGTCTTGTCCTACAATCCCTAACAAAAATGTTTCTGGTATTTTTTTACAAATGTCATTTTAAACATTTTTTTCAATTCATTATATATCATTTCCTAATTTTTTTAGAATTTCTCTACATCCCCACCACATATGATAAAAAGTCCCCTCCTTTTCTTTACATTTCTTTACATTTCCAGCCTCTGCTTTACAACCTCCAAGGAAGGAGAGTCCACAACCTTCCAAAGGACTCTTGCCATCAGAAAGTTCTTTCTAATGTTTCATTGGAATCTCCTTTCATGTAACTTGAATCCATTGGTTCTGGTCCTCCCTTCTTGCTCCGTATTCCATGTGACTACTTCTTAGATATTTGAAACAACCAGCGTATCTTCTCTCGGTCTCCTCTTTTCCAGGCTAAACACACCCAACCCCCTCAACCATTCCTCATATGGCTTGGTTTCCAGACCCTTGATCATCTTGGTCAGATCAGAAGCAGGGAAGTCAGGAACAGAATCCGGTCAGAAACCGACAAGGTGCAGGTGGAGCTGGGTCAGGAACTAGGAGTCATATCACGGGCTGTGAAGTCAAGAGACAAGATTGTATTGAATACCTGCAGTTCCTGGATGGAGCTAGGGTAAAAGCTTGCAAATCATAGAAGGAGGAGGACAGAACCTGTGAAGGAAGGAAAGGAGGGAAACAGGAAGCCAGCAAGCAGGTGTGGAGTCAGAGCAGGATCTGTCCACTCAGGAAGGAGTGAAACCTGGAGCCATCTGGAGTTTACTGATTTTTCAGATCTAAGTACTGGTTATCAAGCAGCAGAAAGTGAAAACTGGTCAGCAATAAGTAACCAAACAATTAACCCCTGTGTTGCAAACAAATATCAGTAATATCAAAAGGCAAGACGATGACCAAGTCCAACAATGCGATGTCAATATAATCTTTATATAATCTATACAGAACATTGAACAATATGAAATATATGAAATATGCACTCTATGCAAAACCAAATAAACAGAAATCTTCTAAATCTCTGAAAGTCACAGAATATGCACTCTTGAAAACATAGAACCAAATAAACATAAGTCTTATAGGTCTCTGAAAGTCTTTGTGGGCTATGCAAGTCTCTGAAAGAAGCAATGGGTCAGATTCTTTTCTGGAGAAAACAAGCTGTAAAGCTTTGTTTTATGATGTCCAACGCTGCCGAAGTGGTCTGCAAACAGACGTAGTGAACAATGATTCTGGATATGCCCACTGTTTCATGGAATTCTTCTTCAGCACAGCAGAAGGATACAGAAATGCTTCAAAATCTGCAATTGAATTATTGAAACGATGACCTACATATACATGGTAACTTACAATAACTCAAAGTCTGACAACTGGTCAGAGCAGTAAAACATTGGGGTTCCAGCTATTCCCACCGTGGGAACCCCCACGCAAACCTTGGCAGATGACACTGAAGAAACAGGCGGAAAAGACATTGGAGGGAAAACTGGGAAGAAGAGTGTGTCTGCCATCTTCATGTTGAAAGATTCTGCTGAATAATAGGATTGGAATAGCCCCCCAAAATAAAGATATTTTTGTATGCCACTACAGCGGCAAGACTGCTATTAGCTAAAAATTGGAAATCTCAAGAAATACCAACGGTAGAAGAATGGCAGATGAAGATGTTGGAGATTTTGGAGCTGGCCCACCTGACTGGAAGAATCCGCAATCAGAAAGAAGAGGAGCAACAAGAAGATTGGAAGAAATTTAAAGATTATCTAGCTAAATATTGCAATATAAGATAATTAGAAGGTACTTGAAAGTATCAAATAGGCCTAGGATTAGAATAAGAATGTTGTATAGTAATATGGATTTAAGTCAATAAGAAAAGAGATGAGGATAGTAAATTGAAGGAGTAAATTGTAGTAGAAAGATGATTTTGGAAAACTGTTACAAGGTGATACAATGAAATTCAGTTAGGATGGATTTGAGGAAGTCAGTTAATAATGGAATTTAAAATGAACTTCAGAAGGAATGTGTGTTTTTATTTTTGTTTTTTCTTTTCTTTTAGTATTGTAATGTTCTTTCTTTTGTATGTTTTATCTGTTAAAATCAATAATTTTTTTTGGAAAAAAAGATTCTGCTGAGCAACTCTGAGCATGTGCAGAGTTCAGAGCAGCACAAAGGGTCATAAAGGGCTACATCATAAGCAGATTTATTCTGAGTCCCGTTGGATCCCATAGGACTTTCTTTGGTGCTAATATACACCGAGATGTGCAATCATTCTGGCTGGGTGAAAACCCTAGACGAAGGAAATACTCTGTCCCTTTGTGAACCCAGCATGAGGTGGGGGCCCACAGAGTTCACTTGGGATGAGAGAGAAGAGAGAGGGACACCTGAAATAAACCACCAGGACAAAAATAGACCTGGTCCTAAGGGCAGGAGACGAGCTGAATGAAAAATAAGTTACTATTTTTAAAGCCTGGATGTGGTTGTTATGGAAACGAGTGTCTGTTGAAGCAGGCAGCAGAACAACCACAGAAAGGCGAGGATCTCACAGGCTTCCAACAGAGCAATCCTACTGAGTCATGGACTGTCTCTTGGGAGAAATATTCTCAGGCAATTGATGGAGAATCTTAAGTGGCCGACCCACACAGACTTTCGCTATATTTTGAGCCCAGCTTCTTCCAGCCAATTTTATGGGTGAAATGTGGAATTCCTGTGCTTTTAATATTCTGCTATAAGGTTTTTTGGGGGGGGGTAAGGTCAGTCTGGATGATAATCCCGGGCCCCTTCCAAACCTGCAATCCTATATCTGTCAAGGTAAAATGTGTAAAAGGGAACCTAGTGAACTAGTCAAACGAGTTCCTTTGGCCTTAGCTGGGCAGCTGAGTACTGCTATTTACAAGCACAAATAAGGCTGCCATAGAGGCAAGTTGATGGGACCTTTCCCAACTCAACTGACTGGAAACAATAGGCTACGTGCAGAATGCGGGTGCAGAATGCCGCAGTGAGACTCCTTACGGGGTGCTCGCTGCGGGATCACATTCACCCAGTGCTATACCAGCTGCACTGGCTCCTGGTGGAGTACAGGATCAGGTTTAAGGTGCTGGTTTTAAAGTCCTATGCAGTCTAGGACCCACGTACCTACGGGACCGCCTCTCCTGGTATGTCCCATGGAGGACCTTACAGTCTGCAAACAAAAACATCTTGGAGGTCCTGGGCCACAGAGAGGTTAGGCTGGCCTCAACCAGAGCCAGGGCTTTTTCAGCTGTGGCCCCAATCTGGTAGAATGCTCTGTCACAAGAGACTAGGGCCCTGCGGGACTTGACATCTTTCCGCAGGGCCTGCAAGACAAAGTTGTGCCACCAGGCCTTTGGCTAAGGCACAGCCTGACCCCCTCCTTTGGTAATTTCTTCACAGAACTCTAGCCCAATGGTTGCCATCAATTTGATTTGAACTGATTTTATAATGAATTGATTTTAGAATGCTGTATTATTTTACTGTTGTTAGCCGCTCTGAGCCCGGCTTCGACTGGGGAGGGCGGGATATAAATAAATAAATTATTATTATTATTATTATGTGGGGCTGAGCATGTGAGAGTTGCATGTGCAAGTTGGACTGTTGCTGGAACCTGAGAGACATCTCTGCTCTGTGCTGGGCCCAAAGCTGTGTTTCATGGAAACCTAAAGGGGACAGAAGCTCTATGGGAGTATTAATGCTGTAAGCCCTTCCACCCTGTGCTCAGATTGAATATATATGTAAATAAAACCATATATCCTAAAGGCTACAGGGGAGTTGCGGTTAAGGAGATGTTGGTAATGTTCTTTCCAGCACAGTGCAATAGCTTCTTTATCTTTTAGAAGTGTGGTACCGTCTGCTGAGCGTAGGAGGCATATGCCATGGTTTATTGGCCCATAGATGGTCTTTGTGGCTTTAAAGGAACTCTGTGCATCATGAGTGATGCTGTAACGTTGGAAAATGTCAATCACTTCTCCTACCTGGGCAGTTATCTTTCCACAAGGGCCAACACTTATGCTGAAATCCAGCATTGCCCGAGCTCTGCACGTGCGGCTTTCTCCCGATTGAAGTGCAGAGTGTTTGAGGACCGGGACATTCGCAGGGAAACCAAAATGCTTGTTTACAAAGCTATTGTACTACCAACCTTACTGTATGCTTGTGAAACATGGACCACTTTTAAATGCCATCTCCAACTCCTTGAAAGATTCCATCAACGGTGTCTCCAAAAAATTTTTACACATCACTTGGGAAGACAGGCGAACTACCAGTAATACCAGTGTACTGGAAGAAGCAAAGATCACCTGTGTTGAAACAGTGATTCTTCAACATCAACTTCACTGGACTGGTCATGTTGTACGGATGCCTGATTATCGTCTTCCAAAGCAACTACTCTATTCCAAACTTAAAAATGGAAAGTGTAATGCTGGTGGTCAACAAAAGAGGTTTAAAGACTAACTCAAGGCAAATATTTTAAAATGTAGTATAAACACCAACAGTTGGGAAACACTGGCCTGCGAGCGCTCCAGTTGGAGAACAGCCTTTACCAAAGGTGTCATGGGCTTTGAAGACACTTGCAAGTGGAGAAACATGCTAAGAGGAAGGCACGCTTGGCACATCCACACCATTATCAACTCCCACCCAGAAACCTATGCCCCCACAGTGGAAGGACATGTGGATCCAGAATTGGCCTCTACAGTCACTTACGGACTCTTTGCTAAAACCGTGTTTATGGAAGACAATCTTACTCAGCTACGAGTGATCACCAAAGAAGAAAGAAGAAGAAGATATCCTAAAGGTGTCACAGTCTCCGTTGGCCTTCATTCGAAGGAAACCTGGCCCTTGGAAAGCACAGGAATCACTGGAGTCTCTTGCTGCTCAGAGATTGGGGAACATGCAACAATTCTTATTCTTGCACCAGGGACTGTTTCCTAACCTCCCACTCACTTACTTCCATATTTTAGGGTACCCTTGTACTTTGCCAATGACAGTAGTCTATTTGAAGCATTCTCCAGTCTGCTGGCATCCTTCTGTCTCAAGAGACAATGGAATGCATCTCCGGGGATGACGCCAAACTGCTGGAGAATCACAGCGCCTGCTGCGGCTGCAGAGATTGGCAATTTGTAACTCCCGCTTTGTTTTTGCTGTGTTAGCAGCACACTGATGTGGCCTTTCCGGGGTGCAAGCCTAGGCAGTGCTTCTGGAGGTCCCGGGCTGCCCAGATGACAAGACCCCACTCTTGGTTTTGCTGATGTGGTCCAAAAGAAAGCAGAGTAATATGTTTCGCATCTTCATGGCTGCAGGAGTTGCCGGACGGAGGTGTACCAGAACCCATCCAAACGTCTTAGGGACTCCACTCCAGATTTGTGAGCCTTTTCTTCTCCCAAAGGTGTCCTGCAAAGCATGTTTTTACATGAGTAGAATGTGTCCTTTTATTTAAAATGCATCTCTGGGTTATTTGTGGGGCATAGGAATTCGTTCATTTTTTATTTTTTTTCAAAATATAGTCCAGCCCACGACATAGTCTGAGGGACGGTGGACCGGCCCACAGCTGAAAAAGGTTGCTGACCCCTGGACTACGGCCTGAGAATATCTGCCCTAAGGCAGGTAAAGAGTCCGTCCATAAAGGATGGGCTTTGGGGCTGCTGGTTGCAACTTTTTATTTGTTAAATTTTTTGTTACATTTTAGTGCCCTCCAGTGGTGCCAATTGGAGTAGTACAAAATCCTAACACAGGGCAAGTATGAACAAATATGGGGAGAATGCCTGCCTAAGAGCAAAGATGTCTGGAATTGTACCCAAGAATTGTGTGTTTTTTTGATGCATGACACCCATGGGCATATACCTGATAGGGAGAGAGGCAGTTTCTTAGGTTTGTGGGGTCTAGGGTTGCCATATTTCAAAAAGTAAAAACCAGGACACCCAGAAAGTTATTGAGCTTTTTAATTGTTGAGCTTTTTTTTAGACAAACCCCAAAGATCCAGGACAAAACGCTGCCTTTCGGAAATTTCCCCGGGGCTTCAATTCTGCCTTTGAAATCCCATTAATGCCCAGGAAAATCCGGACGTACGGCAGCCCTAGTGGAGCATCATGTCTTTAGATGTCAAAACAAGACCTAGAATTAGGCTTGGAAACATAGAGGCAGCCAGTGCAAAAGGGACAGCAGCGCATCCTGTATACATCTGCCAAAAATGTGGGCAGCTGCGTTTTGCTCTGAGTTCTGTTCAAGGGTAGTCCTACATGAAGCACATTATGGTAGGCAAGCCTGGAGGTTAGAATATATCTTTTTAATTATAAAGCCGTGGAGAATGTTTCTTAATAAATAAGAGCACCTGTCTGAGAAGGGAATGGCTCATGTACTATTAGCCCAAAGACTAAATACTATTAGTCCCGACCAAAGAAGACTGGCAAACCAAGTTAATGGACTATGCTGAAAGGGCGAAACTAACTGGAAAGCTCAGAAATCAAGATGACATTTTTTTAAAAAAAGAATGGAAAATGTTTATTATGTATTTACAAAAGTACTGCGAACAGGTTAATACACTGGTAGAATTTTAAGAACACTTGTAATCTTAAGAGATAGTACAGGAAATTTGAGGTTAAAAATATTTTGGAGTAGAAATAATATGCAGTTGAAAAGAAAACTTAAGGAATGGGGTGGGGAGGGAAGTCACGGGATTCAAAGAATCCCATTTTATGGATTTGATATTGTTTTTGTGTATTTTTTTCTATGTTGTATTTGTTATTGTGTATTTATTTATTTATTTTTCTGGTTTTCTTTGCTACTTTTGTTGGAAAATTTAATTTTTAAAAAAATAATAAGACAGAGAAAGGAATGGAGTCTGTACAACATGAAGCTGGTTAAAAGGTTTTTCTTTTTTTACCAATGTCCTCCAATGGCTTCTCAAAAAGTAGTCCTGGCTCTTGTACTCATCTGATCAAAAAGGGACATAGTTACCTCATGATCTGTCACAGGTCTATCACTCCCCTCCAAACATGCCATTAGTGTGGTTACTCCCCAAATATCTCACCCCTAAATGGTTTCTGTTTCAGTACCCGGGGACCTTTGAAGTAAGAAATTGCCTTATAACCAGTTCAGCCTATTTGACCAAGTACTACAGTACCGTCTGCTTTAATTGGCAGTAGCTCTCCATGGTCTCTCACAGCTGACTTTTCCAATGCTACTTGATCCTATTTAACTGGAGATGCCAAAATTAGAACCCAGGACCTTCTCCATGTGTTCTACCACTGAGCTGCCGTGTGTCTCCTTTACTCTTTAATCAGGGTGGTCTTGCTGCAAGAGTTGAGCCTCAGTGCTGTTTGACTTGTGATATTCAGATTTACCTTGATTTCCCTTTTTTTTTTTTAGCACAGAAGTGCAGCTCATACTTAATGTGCACATTTACTGGGAAGCAAGTCCCATGGTGCTCAGTGAGGCTTACTCAGGAGGAATGTGTTTAGAGCCAGAGCTTTCAGAGACAACTTTGGTGAACAGCGAAATCAAGCCCAGCCGCTGAAGTCCAACCAGGAGCTTGGGAAATTAAAAGGCCCTGAGCGAGGCTCTCAATTAAATTTTGCGGCTCTTTAATAGCCACTCTTCCCCACCGCTGCCGTCTGTTGTTCTTCATGCAAACCGATCCTGGCATCCTCGGAAGAGGCTCTCGGGCCAGCAGACCGCTCTCCTTAGCAGCTAATGAAGAAGTCCATGGAGGCCACCTTTCCCAAGGCCGAGATGAGAGGCTGTTTTCCATCACTCCGCCTTCCCCTTGCCTCATCCTCTCCTCCTCTGTCTCCTGGATAATCCAATTTGCCTCAACAATTGATGAAGTCAGAAATGGCCCCAAGAAACAAAATAGCTTCTTCCTACCCATTGTGGGTTTTTTTGGGGGGAGTTACATGAACATTTAATCTTGTCCAAAGGGCCATCTTCACCCGAGGGTGCAAGGGGTGTGGGGCACCCAGGCGCCGAATTCTGGGGGGAGCCAGGCACCTGCCGCTGAAGCTGCCTAAGCTCTTAACTATCTACCTGTTGTGAAATTATAAATAATTTTGATCAAGCTAGAAAAACAAAATACAGTCATACCTCGGGTTGAATATGCTTCAGGTTGAGCGCTTTCGGGTTGCGCTCCACGGCAACCCAGAAGTAACAGAGCACATTACTTTCGGGTTTTGCTGCTTGCGCATGCGCAGATGCTCAAAATGACGTCACACGCATGCGCGGAAGCGGCAAAACGTGACCTGCGCATGCGCAGTCGCATCTTACGTTCTATTCAGTATGCGAATGGGGCTCCGGAACAGATTGTGTTCGCATCCCGAGGTACCACTGTACACATATACCTAGCTATTACCAAAATGTATACCTACTGTTTCACTAAAGGACTTTCGACTTTGTGCGTTCATTTACCAAAGACGCACTGCACCAGCAGTGGCGCTTGTCATTCACAACGGTGGCGCTTGTCAGACTCAATGACGTTGCTTGTCATTCACAGCGGCGCCGTGCACGCGAAATTAACTCTTACATCAAAATTTTATGTTACGTATTGTATTGAGCTGCTATGAGGCAGCGGGGTCAGCGGCACCTTTGACATGGCTGATGTTTCTCCTAAGTAGGTGCCTAAACAATACTTATAAGTTTAAGTGTGATGTTTTACAGATGGTATATAACGCCAGTTAAACTGGCCAAAATGTATAAAACATGCAATAAGTGTTGGAAATGTAAAGAAAAAGAAGGTACTTTCTATCATATGTGGTGGGAGTGTAAAAAGGCGAAAGACTTCTGGGAAATGATATACAATGAATTGAAAAGATGTTGAAATATACGTTCGTTAAAAACCAGAAGCCTTTCTATTAGGAATGGTAGGAAACGAAATCAATAAGAGAGACTGTAAACTGTTTCAATATGCAGTGACTGCCGCAAGGATACTTCTGGCCCAAAGATGGAAACAGGAAGAAATTCCAACAGTGGAAGAATGGAGAAGGAAATTGACTGAATATGCAGAATTGGACAAATTGACTGGGAAGATTCGATACCAGAAAGACCAAAAGTTTATCGAGGACTGGGGGGAAATTTACAGAATATCTGAAAAATATATGTGATGTACAGACAACGCTTGTTGGTTTTGAAGAGACTCTGTGAAATAGTAAGAAATACTGCAAAAAGAGAGTAAGAGGAAAAGGAGTGGGGAAAGGCAATATTATGTTTAGAAATGCGTCAATAAATAGAAATTTTTCGAAAGATTGACAGAGAAACTGAGGGAAGTCAAAAATTGAAGCATGAGTGTAAAACAATTTGTTGATTGTATAAAACTTGTTTGGAAAATGAATAAAAATTATTTTTAAAAAACAGTTTAAGTGTGATGGTGCTGTATACTTAAATATAAGTGTATTGTAAATAAATAAGCAAATAAAAAAGTTTGTTTCTTTTTCCTCCAGTCTTTTGTAAACAAGAGATAAGGCATAAGCGTGGTGTCTGACATAAGCATAATAAAATTTAATTGGGGGGCTAAACTAAATTTGGGGGCGCTGGACGGATCTTTGCACCCCGGCAGTGCATATGCTAAAGACAGCACTGCTTGTCCAGGAACCGCTTTGCCATGGAGGAATTACATCCTTTAAAAAGAGGGTTATAAACACCAAGCTCCAGATGCACTGCTGTAGTCTTCTGCATTGCCCTAATAAGGATTTGGGGAGTTTTCTTGTGGGCTGCCATTTCTTTTCTTGAATAAGCCGCTCTGAACATTTTTCAGACCTTCCAAGCCTCCCTATTTTCCAGGGACACTCCCGAATTTACGGAAGGCATCCCGGTTTCTGATTTGATCCCGGAATGTCCTGCTTTTCCTTAGGACGCCCCTATTTTCAACGGAGAAATGTTGGAAGGTATATTTTCTGCATCAGAGTAAGCTGAGGGAAAAGGGTGAGAAAGAATATAATAATAATAATAATTAATAATAATTTATTTATACCCCGCCCATCTGGCTGGGTTTCCCCAGCCACTCTGGGCGGCTTCCAACCGAATATTAAAAACAGTACAGCATCAGACAAGAAATGAATTAGTCAGTATCCTATCCAAATCTTAAGGAGCCCTTGCACTATTCCACAGAAGTTAGCCCCCACGTGAGCAGAGAGTCGACCGTGTTTGTTTACAAATTGCATATACCGTATATTTCCATGTGTAAGATGCCCCCATGTATAAGATGCTCCCTACTTTTGGGGACCACAAATTTAAAAAATGGGCGTATGCACTTTCCATGTATAAGACTTTATTTTAAAGTAAAAAAAACCCTAGTCTTATACATGGAAAAGTATGGTAATTTTGGGCCAACTGTGCAGGGTCTGATTTTTTTTTTACACAAAAAAGTCTGATGTTTTATTGTGCTTTTAATTCTGTTGGGAGCCGCCTAGAGTGGCTGGGGAAACCCAGTCAGATGGGTGGGGTGTTATGTACTGAAGTTCTCACCCTGGGCCAGCCGGGGGATACTGTAGATAGTTATGCAAATGAAGGATCGAAAGTGACGTTCAGTGATTAGATAGTTTGTATGCAAATGAAGGATCAAAAGTGACGTTCAGTGATTGGATAGTTTTAGAAAATGGCAACAGTTACATTGTTCTGGAGCTCTATATAAGCAGGCTGACTGAGCTCCTCAGGCAGTTCTGTTCCAGCTTACAAATAAAGAGCTGCTTTGGAAGAATCGTTGTGTCGTCTGATATGTTCGCCCACAACTTAACATGGGGTATTAATAATAATAATAATAATAATTCACTCCAAGGAAATCAAACCCTTGGAAAGCACATGGAGTGCTAAGGTTGACATTTCCCCCCAAAACAGAGATTTTCCTTTTGGGTATAATAGAGGGTGAGATACCTAAGAATGCATTAAATCTTTTTCTTTATGCAACTGAATAGCCTGTGCACAAATTCAGAAGGACAAAAACAGTTCCAACAAAAGAGGATTGGCAGAATAAGTTAATAGAATATGTGGAGTTAGCAGTGCTGACTGCAAAGATAAGAAACCAGGACGAACATAACTTGTAAGGGAGGAATGGGAAAACTTTGGAGAATATTTAAAGGATTATAACACATAAATCTCCAAGCAGGACTAGATATATGAACAACAGCTAAATTAATTAGGTGTAGAAAGATATGCCGCATAACTAAGAGTAAAAAGGAGGGAGGTGAGGGGAAGTCAAATAATGTAGAAAAATAATGAAGAATATTGTGAAATGGATGTACCAATTTAGGGTGAAAACATAAAAAAGGAAAGTGCATGGAGACCCTGAGTCCCTTGGGTCTATAATGAGTCATGTTCCATAAAATCAGTGTTTTGTTAAATGTTAATGGGGGGGGGTCTATTCAGTCCTGATGCATTAATATAAAAACAGCAAAATCAACAGTGTGGGTTTTAGTAAATGTTTACAGTTATATACTGATTACTGATTCATAAAAAATAAAAGGAATACTGTGCTTGTTGTTGTTGTTATCCATCTATACTGCTCCAAACTTTTAAGGGGGCGTGGAATCCATTAAGCAGTTTGCAAACCGCATTCCAACATCAGGCAAAAAATTCAGGGATAAAATGTTACAGAAGAAAATCAAATACACGCTGAAAGAAATCTCATCTTGAACGATGTCAGAATATTGTATTTTATGAAATTGGCTGTGGCAATATATTCACCACTAGTGCCTATTTATTTATCTATTTAATTAAAATGAATACCTTGTTGGTTCAATGAAATGTTTGTGATTACATATATATTCATTACTTTTGCCTCTTTATTATTATTATTTTTAAAAAGCAGTGCTTTTCAAAGAAATACTGAGTAATAAATAGTTGTTGATTTGAAATGTCATTTTTTTCTCCTTAATTTATTATTTTATTATGTGGGGCTCCCTAAGCTGACTTTTCCCTCAAACTTCTGTCTTTTTTGCCTCGTTTTGTGTGTTTCTAAAAATTCCCCTCAGGCGCCTCGAGAGAGACCCTTTCGCGCCAAAACCCAACAGTCGCCGGAAGCTGCACTGCGCGCGCGTAGAAAAACCTCCCGCACCATACGGCGCACGCGCGAGCCCTCGTCCCGTCCCGTCCCCCGCCTCTCTCCGAAAATCGCGCAGGCGCACGGGCGCTACGGTGGCCGGTCGGGAAGCGCCGCCAATGGCGGGCCGCTTTCGCCGCGGCGAGGCGGGAAGTAGGCGGGTTGGCGCAGGCGCGCTGAAGGCTCCGGCCACTACCGGAGCGTAAACAAGGCGCCGCTGAGAGGGATGAGGAGGCGGCCGGAGCCGAGCGGGGCCGCGAGCCGTCGAGGCTGACAGGCCTCTTTCCGCTGCCCTCCCGCCGGCCGGGGACGGGGGGGCGCCGCCGCCGCCAGGGAGAGCCATGAACTTGGCCAGTCAGAGCGGCGAGGCCGGCGCCGGCCAACTGCTCTTCGCCAACTTCAACCAGGACAACACGTAAGGCCAAAGGGGGAGGGGGCGTGGCCGAGAGAGAACGCGGGGGGGGGGAGAGGAAGGAGGGGGGAGGCGAAGGTTCGAAAACGGGGGGGGCGGGGGAGGATCCCCCACCTGGAGCCCCGGTACTGCGCGTGCGCGTGCCTGAGTGGCTATACCTGAGATCCTGCACGCATTACTATTATTATTATTATTATTATTATTTATTATTATTGTTTGAATTTATATACCGCCCTATACCTATAGGTTTCTGGGCGGTTCACAAAAAAGATCGCAATACAGTATATAAAATCAAAATAAAAACAATAACCCAATCACACCCCCTCCCCCCAGAAAGAGCCACATTTTAAAAAGGTATAGGATGTCAGTCAGGTCAACCAAAGGCCCCCCAAAAGAGTCACATTTTTAAAAGGTATAGGATGTCAGTCAGGTCAACCAAAGGACTGGTTAAAAAGGAATGTTTTTGCCCGGCTCCTAAAGGTGCATAATGAAGGTGCCAGGCAGACTTCTCTGGGGAGAGCATTCCACAGACATGGGTTGGCAGTGACAGCAGATATGTCCTATGCTTATGGTAATATGTTATATCTTGTTAATTGTGCTGTTTTTAATGTGCAGTGTATATTCCTTTGAAAGAGGGAAAGTTTGGAGAAGAAATGTCCCTAAATGGGGCGGGAGGAAGAGAAGGCACTCACACCCAGGATTTATTTGTTTCTTAGTTTATTTTTATTGCTTGCTTTCTTTTTTAAAAAATCCAAGGAGATCGAGCCAGGTGTATTATGGTTCCCACTGCCTCTCCTTTTTATCCTCAAAACACGCCTGGGAAGTAGAATTGTAGGGACGCTGAGGATCATCTAGTTTAACCCGCTGCAATGCAGGTATTGGCAGGGGCTTTGTGGGGATTGAACCTGCGACCTTGGTGTTATCAGCACCAGTCTCTAACCAACTGAGCTATCTAGTTGTGAGTAGGTTAGACAAAGAAAGAGGGGGGCACAATTGGCTGGCTTCCAAGGTCGCTCTCAGTGAGCTTCATGACTGAATGAGGATTCATACCCACTCTTTCCCAGGTTCTGGTCTGATCCTGTATTTATTATTATTCTTTATTCATTTAATCTATATCCCACCTTTTTCTCCATGGAGCTCAAGGTGGCAACATTCGTAGTTCTCCCTCTCCCCATTTAATCCCCACAACAGTCCTGAGAGGCAGTTGACTGGCTTCCATGGTCACACCCAGCCAGCTTCATGACTGGGGATTCAAGCCCCAGTTTCTCCCATGTCCTGGACCAGTGCTCAACCATTGCACCAGTGTTCCCATGCAGTGTTCATATTTTGAGTGAAGTAAGAATTCACATGGTATATTGGATTTTGTAATCATTGCCTTCAAAGTTGGCTGCTGCTGGTGCCATATTTACCAACTAGCTTCCCCTACTTAATTCTCTCCAGGTGTTTTAGACTGCAAGTCCCATTGGCCAACATCTGGAGGGCACCAGGTAGAGGGGAAGGCTGATCTAGCATAATGATGAGTTCTGGATAACTCCTTTCTTTTCTTTTAAAGGAGGTTGCTGTGTCTTGCCTGGAAGAATCAGATTATCTTTTTTAATGTGTGTTAAAATCCTAGCCTTACAGATAAATGTTGTGGTTTGCCATGGAGGTTAATAATTTTAATGTTCATATGGTATGTTCTTAGGTTTGTGTCTCTTTCTCTGTCTTTTTTATTTTTTTATACATGTTGCTGTGTTACTTTCATACAAGTACAGTGGTGCCCCGCAAGACGAATGCCTCGCAAGACGAAAAACTCGCTAGACGAAAGAGTTTTCCGTTTTTTGAGTCGTTCCGCAAGACGAATTTCCCTATGGGCTTGCTTCGCAAGACGAAATGTCTTGCGAGTTTGTTTCCTTTTTCTTAAAGCCGCTAAGCCGCTAATAGCCGCTAAGCCGCTAATAGCTGTGCTTTGCAAGACGAAAAAACCGCAAGACGAAGAGACTCGCGGAACGGATTAATTTCGTCTTGCGAGGCACCACTGTATATTGCTCCCTTTGTTAACTTTTGCTTAGTAACATTCTGATGGTTGGATGCAAGTAAATCTGAATCTGGCCAATTCTGTGAGCGACTAGGAGTTTGTCAAGTTATTCAGATGGCCACTGTTTTATTTAGGGATCTCAGGTGGGTGAGAGATAACCACTGCCAAGCTGTTCATGCTGTTGCCAAACCTGCCTTGTTAATTGGTCACTGTAGCTATGTTGTAATTGTCCCTGTATGTCCTCTTTTCATTTCATTTCCCTCTGAACTTACTTAACTACCTTTCCCAACCATGTGTTGGGGGATGGGGGGTGCGCACACACACAGTTGTGTGTACTTGCCAGTTCAGGATTACAGTTCATACATCTGACAATATGAACAAAAGTAAAAAAAAGGTAAAGGACCCATGACAGTTTACAGTATATATTGGTTAGCATTGTAAGATACCACAAATCTCGTTTTTGTTTTTTGCTGCAACAGACTTAACATGCTACCTGTCTGGAAGGTGTATGTGCTGCAAGATGCTTGTGTTTTTAAAACAGGTTCTTGGCAGGGAAATATTTAACTTGCAATTCTTTCTCCATTGTGGAGGTGCTTTGATGAGGGTTAGAACCTCGAATCATCACACACACCCTTCTTCTTGAGCTTAGAGCACCTTGAGGGTTGGGAAAAGTGGGACTTACTGCTGAGTAAGCATGCACCATATTTGCAGTTCTAGGCACGCTTGCTCAGAAGCAAGTTGCTGGGGATCATAAGAGGGGGAGACTTCTAAATCTCCAGTGTGTCTCACTGAAGAAGGCTTCGGGAAGGCGTTGGTGGAGAAAAGATCACGACTGATGGCCTGGGCAGGTGGAGAACGAGGGATTGGTGGTGGTGAAGTGGAACTCTTTATTGATGCCTGCAATGAGAGCAAATCCCATAGAACCCAGTGGGTTCTAGCACTTCAGAAAGAATGAAAGGCCGGGTCTGTGCCTCAAGCTTACAATATAGAGGATAACACAAGGGCCACTGTGGTGTAGTGGTTAAAGTTTTGGGCTGGGAGGGACTGGGGAGAGCCAGGTTTAAAGCCCCACTTGGCTATAGAGCTTACCAGTTGGCATCAAGTCAGTCACTACCTCTCAGTCTTATCTCACAGGATTGTTGTAAGGATAAAAGTGTACGGCGGGGGTGTGATTGTGTGTGTGTGACAAACTGTGCATGTTGCCTTGTGCTCCTTGGAGAAAAGTTGGGTTGTAAGCTAAAAATTCCCAGAGGAAGGGTAGGCAGAATATACCATGTTTCATTTACACATACCTAGGTTCAGTTTAATTGCAGTGTGAAAACTTCACTGGGAAGGCTTTGAGGAGGGGTTTGAAGTCCTTGGCAAGCACTTCAGGCACAGTTCTGAGTAATCCCAATTTGGATTCAGCTGCAATCCCCAAAGCACCCTTCCTTAGGCATATGAAACTGCTTTTTATACTGAGTCAGAGGTTTGATCCATTTAGCCCTGACTTGTCTACTCTTGTGTTAGGGCCTGGGGGTGGGGTCCCAGGCTTGATGGACTTCCCCACAAGTCCCATGAATGTGTGGCCTAGAATATGCTGCTGCACTGGGTAAGGGATGTGGGGGCGGGTGTCGCAGGGGGCAAGCCTTTTCTGTTTCAGAGCAGCCTCTCTGATCCACTCACTGCTATTACATTGAGCTTCCCAGGAACCTCAAGGTTTCCTGGAACATAGTATGAAGGCCTTTGGTATGAACAGTGTAAGAGATGCTCTGTCCTTTTCAAGGCAACCTTTGCCAACCTGGGGCCCTCCAGATGTTTTTGGACTGCAGTAGAGTTATCACACCTCTCTTGTGTGGACAGTGCTCAAACATTAGGTGCATTGAAGTCAGTGGACACCCAGTAGTTTTTCCTGGAAGACACCCACTGCCCTGATGCAATTAGCCTTCAGGGGGGAGAGAGGGCCCTAATGTTTACTCAGAAGTAAGCCCTGCTTTGTTAATGAGCCTTACCCTGTAATTCTGAGCAACTGTCTTTGGAGTAAGTCAGGAATGGGACATCTGTGGCTTTCCAGGTGTTGCTGGTCCACAGCTCCCATTGGCCATGCTACCTAGGGCTGATGGGAGTCTGAATGCAGCAACATCTGGAGGGCCACATCCCTGCTGTAATCAAGCTCTTATTCTTTGTATATATAAATTTGGTATAACCACCCCCAAATCAAAGACTGTGTGTGTGTATGTGTGTGTGTGTCCCCAGGTCTCCCCTTTCCCACTCCTTGTCCCCAAATTTGTGGCTTTCTGAGCCAGATAGCCTAGCGTTGGTGTGGGACTTCCTATAGTGGGAGCAGAAGCAAGCTGAAACACTGCAGAGTTCTTGCCTCTTGAATTCAAAGTAGGGCACACACCGAAGTGCATGGGAAAGAAGTTGGAGTATGTAGTCAGAGTGCGAGGGTTTTGAAATGCTTAAGAGGCAATTGATGGGGCAGTGATAAATAGGCCATTTTGCAGGGAGGAGCATCACCCGTGGGAAGTGAATAAGAGGAAATGATCAGGAGAGCTATGCCGTTGGGCTGTTTTTGGAATGACTGCTTCCTTTGTGTACAAGGGAAGCCACACAAAATTCCTTTCCTTGATGCTGGGTGACTCGCTGAGATCGAAGGGCCCAAAGGTCTAGTAGCCTGATCCTTTCCTCAAAAGCTTGGCTCTCTTGACTCCTTCCCACCACAACCCTGCCACAAATAGGCTTGCATAGTCTGGCCAGTGTATGAAATTCTTTAGTCAGTGTGTGTAATAGAGAACCGCTCTCCCTATAAAAGAAAGTGATCCGAGTTCATATCCCTAGAGAGAAGTAAATTCTGCGGCCCAGTACACTGATATTAAATATACTATGATCGCACCTTGCATGCAATCATAGAATCATAGAGTTGGAAGAGACCACAAGGGCCATCGAGTCCAACCCCCTGCCAAGCAGGAAACACCATCAGAGCACTCCTGACATATGGTTGTCAAGCCTCTGCTTAAAGACTTCCAAAGAAGGAGACTCCACCACACTCCTTGGCAGCAAATTCCACTGTCGAACAGCTCTTACTGTCAGGAAGTTCTTCCTAATGTTTAGGTGGAATCTTCTTTCTTGTAGTTTGGCTCCATTGCTCCGTGTCCGCTTCTCTGGAGCAGCAGAAAACAACCTTTCTCCCTCCTCTATGTGACATCCTTTTATATATTTGAACATGGCTATCATATCACCCCTTAACCTCCTCTTCTCCAGGCTAAACATGCCTAGCTCCCTTAGCCGTTCCTCATAAGGCATCGTTTCCAGGCCTATGACCATTTTGGTTGCCCTCCTCTGGACACGTTCCAGTTTGTCAGTGTCCTTCTTGAACTGTGGTGCCCAGAACTGGACACAGTACTCCAGGTGAGGTCTGACCAGAGCAGAATACAGTGGCACTATTACTTCCCTTGATCTAGATGCTATACTCCTATTGATGCAGCCCAGAATTGCATTGGCTTTTTAGCTGCCGCGTCACACTGTTGGCTCATGTCAAGTTTGTGGTCAACCAAGACTCCTAGATCCTTTTCACATGTACTGCTCTCAAGCCAGGTGTCACCCATCTTGTATTTGTGCCTCTCATTTTTTGCCCAAGTACAATACTTTACATTTCTCCCTGTTAAAATTCATCTTGTTTGTTTTGGCCCAGTTCTCTAATCTGTCAAGGTCGTTTTGAAGTGTGATCCTGTCCTCTGGGGTGTTAGCCACCCCTCCCAGTTTAGTGTCATCTGCAAATTTGAACAGGATGCCCTTGAGTCCATCATCCAAGTCGTTGATAAAGATGTTGAATAAGACCGGGCCCAAGACAGAACCCTGTGGCACCCCACTAGTCACTCTTCTCCAGGATGAAGAGGAACCATTGATGAGCACCCTTTGGGTTCGGTCAGTCAGCCAGTTACAAATCCACTGAGT